TGTTGATCTGTGAAAGACATTAATTTGTAAATACCTGATTTGTGTGTATTGCCAGATGTGTTAGACCCCATAATTCCTTTTGCAGTAAAAGGAACTGTTTCAGTTTTGCCTTTGTGGTAATGAAAATACTGTGCTGGTGAGGCTTTCTCTATTGAAACTCTGCTCTAACTAAACATTTCATTGGGTGGCTGCTGCTGGGAATGTTGCTGCTTTTTGAAGAGCCAGCAGGCAGTAGGACTTGGGCTCTGCCAGGTGAGATTGCAGGACTTGTAGGGTTGCCACTCCAGCCTCCACTTTCATACCAAGAGAGATTGTATTATCCAGAATGTAAAATGATTGACAGTTTAGGGACAAAGCTGGTGAATAATTTGAACACTGGAACTTAATGAAGGAAACTGGCTCAAAGCTGGAGAACCCAGAGTATGAGAAGCCACATATTTCCTGTAAAAGAAGTCATAAAATAAGCAGGTCATCAGAAGTTTCTGCACTCTCTTGATGCTCATCTCTAATTCAGGGCAGCAGCTTTGTGGGTTGGGGAGGGGAAATAGTTCCAACTGTGAAGTTACTTCTTTATCTCATGTCTGGAACTGCAGATTGTAGCCAGCAGTGGCAGTGAGCGTGGGAAGAGGAGGGCTCCAGCCTCCCTGATAGCCTGGGCAGTCTCTAGGCTGCTGCAGCACTCACTGTGTGAGTGAATAGGGAATAATGCTCAGCCAGCTCAGTCCTCAGAAAGCACTTGGAGCTTGGAAGGCAAGTGTGCCTTGGGAAGGATAAAAATACTTTTGGGCATTTTTGCAACTTGATCACCTAAAAGCCCATAAGGTTATTAGGTAGCTCAGACATGTCTAATCTTATAAATATATGACCTCTAGACAGAGTGTGTTATTTATTTTGCTGTACCCCCTTCTGATTTTCTTTTCCATGGACTGATGTAGACATAAGCAACAGCTGAACATGAAGAAGACAGAGAAAGAAACTCTTTTGCAATAATGTCTTAGAAGCATATGAGAGCAAAAAGAAATTCTGTTATGTTAATTGTGAATTGAGAACTGTTATCTTACTGCCTTTATGGAAAATTTTCCTCTTCTGTGCTCTGTAGGCTGTCATTCTAGTTTTAGCTGCTGTACTTGTGTCTGTGTGTTCTAGCAGTTCAGTCATTACCTGTATAACACAGCATTGCTTTCTGGCAAGTTGTGTTGTGCATATTCAGGAAAAGTATTATGGGATATAAAGCCTTTTTTTGCATAGATTTCTGTATGTGGGTGCTTCTGCTCTATAACAGCACAGGCAAGAGCTACATGTTGAGTTTGTCAGAGGGTGATGGTCCTTAGTGCCTTTTGGTGTTCCCACACTCCTCAGTGATTGTTGTGGCCTGATCACAGATAACTGTGGCATGCATGAGTGATGCCATTAATTATGGCCATGGTGTGGATGCATGGCTGATTAATTCAGGGCTGGTGAGCTGGAGCCAACAGCTGTTGGGAAGGTATGGGGTTGAAATTCTCTTCAGGCTGGGTGGTGAGGGATTGCTTTTGTGTGGTTTTTATGGTGGTTAGGGGGCATGTCATGCTTGTGGGATGCAGAGCAGTTTTAGACTAGTCCTTTTCTTCAGTTCTGTAGGTAGGAAAGCAAATAAATCAGCAAGGATAGTCAGTTGTGTTTGCAGGGCCTGACTTGTTTTGTTTACTATCAGGCTCTACCTTTCTGGCCCTAGACCTTTTATTTTGTTTCAGTGAACTCCTCCATCCTGTTCTTAGTAGGAGTTGAGATCTCCTTGTTGTCTAGAGACTAATTTTGTCTCCTTCCCCATCCTCCTTTCAGCCCAGGGTAAGGACCCCTGGCAGCTGTGCACATACAGGACATTTCCCATTGACAGCTGGATTGTTGGGAGTCTGTGGAAGGTTTCTCTTTATTGTGTGTGTGTAGGCACTGCCCTGAAAGCAAACTGGGAATCCCATTAGTGGGGTAGGCAGTGTGAGAAAGGCATGGGGGGAAGCTGGAGGTGAAATGAAGAGCTATTCAAGGAGAAAGGCAGTGTAGGGCCCAGTGGTGTGCCTCCTTTAAACAAACCAGTCTTTTTGGGCTTGGATGCTTGTGGAGTTCCAGAACTGTTCCCACCAGCCCAAGCATCAGTTTGGAGAGTGGTTTCTTGAACTTGAAATTTCCATGTCATACGTGTGGAACAGGAATTCAAACCATTCTCTGTTCAAGATAGCATTTTAATTTTAGTTCTAGTATTTAAAATCTTTATGAAAAATGTAGACACTTTGCTCTGATATGCATTATTTTGTGTTATGTGGTTTGCAGTGTGCTCTGCATTACTTGCAGAGAGGAAGAAGCCCTTTTCCAGGTGATTTGAGCAATGGGAAATAGGTCTCCATTAGCTGCATGGATACTGGTGAAATGCTTAGCATAGTTGTGGAATTAGTCTAAAACATGGATGAGATGTACTGGGCTGTGGATTTGGCATGGTGGAGTCACCAAGCACTGGCCCAGGAGTGCAGCTGTGCCCTGTCAGCTCCTGGGGCATCCTGAGGGCCAGGTTTGGTTCTGCCTTTGGACAGCAATGGGGGGTTTATTATTCAGTACTGTTGGATACCACTGTCAGCTGTTCTTTGGTAAACCACTCATCTGTGATAAGCTTTCTTTAAATCCATGCCAGATTTTACAATCAATAAACTGGAGTTACGTAAAAAATGAAGTTAATGTTCACTTGAGGTATAAAATGTGTCTCTGAGAATAGATGCGTGTACATGCACACAAAAAAGCTGATTAAAAATGATGTCAGCTATGAGCATTTGTAACAGCCACCTGAAACCCATGGGATTAAAGTCAAGGTTATATTTTCAAGACATAAATTGACATTTTTAGTTTTAATTTATAATTTTCAGGCGCAGTGCTTACAAAATAATATTTTTGCATCTGCCTCAGTCAAAGTACCTGAAGTGAGGAGTAGCTGGTTGTCTTAGGAATTACTGGAGGGTTGGAGGGAAAGAGCTCATCCTTTCTTCACTTTTTGGAGCCTTCCAGTGAGAAGTGGCCAGTGAGCTTTAGGCTTCAGCATCCTCTGCTGCAGTGCCCTTGTAGGTTGTGGGTGGTTCAGCTGTAGGAGAAATAATTTCTTGTTGCTCTGCTGATCAGTAAATTGCTTAATGCCCACCATTGTTATTTCAGTCAGCAGTTGTTATTGCTGAAACTGCCAAATATCTGTTTGGTTTTGTGACTTCTGGTGGAGTTGGTCATAGTAACGTTGAGCCTGTTGTTTCCTGTTTGATGTGCTGCACAGAGCCAGTGTTTGGGAATGGAAATTTAGGATTTAGTTACTTGGGTGTTTGAACCATTTCTGGTACCAGCCCACAAAGTTTTCTGCAAGCCAGATGTCCAAACTCTGTTCCTCACTTGAGACCTTCCACCAGTTGGAAGGCTGCAGGGATGTGATATTGAAGAGGAACTGACCCTTGCAGTTGGGAGTAAAGTTTTGGAGTTGCTCAGGTGCTTGTTGGTGTGTGTGTGAAGATGGCTGATGATCAGCCTGAGAGGCCTGGAGCACAGAATGCACAAAAATATCAGAAATTGAGTGTGCTATTTCAGTGCTCCTTAGCCCTGGTTCCACTCTGTGGCTCGGTAACCCAAGACTCGTGCTGAGCACAACCATTGAAATTCTTCACTGGTCACTCCCACCAAGACCAGGCTGGCACTTCGCTATCAAGGTGTCTTGACAACAGCACGCTTTTTAACAAGACAAGAGCTTGGAAAATAGGTTTGTTAAGAGTTGTTGCTCTTGGGATTGTAACCCGTGGGATTCCTGGTTGGTGAATCGCCCCTAAGGCAGCCAGCCCCGCTGAAGGGCAGGAGGGCATTTGGGATTTTTGCAGGTAGTGCAAGAGCAGCTTCCTTGGGGTCACTTGCCCGGTGGTCAGTGCTGTGCTCTGGTGTCCCACACAGCAAATGGGTGGCTCTGTAAATCCAGAGAGACCTATGGATAACGGGCTGTCTGACAAAAGGTGTGTCTGCAGCTCCAGTGGTGTTCCACGGGGCAGGTGGAAGGGCTCCGATGGCTAAATGCCCTGAGATAAAAGGGTCCCCTTCACTCTCCTGGTGCAAAGCAGAGCCCTTTGGGGGATGTCTTCCTTCTCTAGGCTGGGGAGGAGGGGGCAGTATCTGTGCGTTCCACAGGATTTCAGGGGGATTGAGGGAAACCCTGAGGAGCTGTCCCTGTTTGAGCACCGCTGAACACCCGCCCATCCCGGAGCATCGTGCTAATGCCGGCATTGCCAAAGATCACCTCAGGCGTGCCCGGGGGCTACGGGTGTTTTCCTCCCAACACAAATGAGCTGGCAAGTCTGGAGGGAAATCGCCTTAGATAGTCCTGGAAGGAATTGTTGTCAGATCTGTGTGCAAGGTCAGCACCTTGTCGGCAGGAGGTGGATTCAGTCCCTCTTTGTCTCCGTTCAGGCTTAGGGCTTCTGGAGCATGGCAGAGACAGGCCAGTCCATTCAGAACTCATCTGTTTTCTTACAGAGTGCTGAGGCTTGAAGTTCCCTAATACCAAATAATTTATATGGCACTCATGCATGTTTCTGTGGTGTTTTTGTTTTTTGGTGGGTGGTTTGTTTTTTTTTTTAAGGCACTACCTTTGGTAAGAACTTGTCTTTTTCCTATAACTTTAGATGTTTATCCTGCTTCAAAATACAAATATTGCTGCTAAGTCTGGACAGCGATATGGAAATTTGTTGAGGGCATTCTAGGATCACATAAGTGTAAAAGATCAAGAAGAACACTATTTGTGTTCTAAGTAAATGAGCCATGCTTGTAAACTGGAGGGGAAGAGAGAGATCACATATTGCTGGTGAGGAGTGGCTGGATTTTGATAAGAACAGGAAGCAGGTAAAGGCAACAGTGTGGTCTAAGTGGAAATAATCTGATAAGAGAGAGGAGGAAGATCACGTGCTTTGCTCTCCAGGCTCATAAAGGTTTTGATTTGATTTTTAGCAGTTCATATTTTAAAGAGTCTTTTTTTCTTTTTGTCAGATTATGTCTACTTCGAAAATTCTTCAAGTAACCCCTATTTGATACGAAGAATAGAAGAGCTCAATAAGGTAAACATTATTTTCCATCAAGTCTTTGAAGTTAATTGAATTTATGATCTGCTTGAGTTGATTAAAATCAAAACAATTCTTTAGCAGTTCTCTGGTAATTAGAAGCTTAAAAATACATTTGTTCTCTGATAATTTTCTGGAATGCTTTAAGACTTTTTGTTCTCCTTTGGTATGAAAGGACTGAGTATCAGTGGCATGTTGATCGTTTTCCTGGAAAATGCTTTCCCCTCTTGCTCTTCAGTTTCATTCTTCCCCTCACCTTTAAAAAAAAATGAACTTTCAATCTGGATCCCCCATCTTGGTGCAACTCTTGCTTGAGCTGTGATTCCTCTGGCCTACACTTTAAAAAGGAATGTTTCAGGTTGAAATGACTGCCAGCTCATTTATTTTTAACTGAGTGTAAATGAAATTTTGGCAATTAAATAAACCAGATCAATTTACATGGAAGCTGTCTGTGTTTGAACAAGATGGTTCCCGCCTTTGTATTTTAGTTTCTCAGAATTTAAAAGTTCTGAATTATTTACCAGAAGGAGGTAGAAATTCTGAGAAATTAGTGAAAACTTTTAGTCTGTAATGGAAATATCTGTGCACCTAAGTGATGTCTGTGTTGTTTTTTTTTATTTATGTTAAGAAAACTGGTATTAGAAAAGTTGAAATTTTTTGTTCATTCACATCTCAGAAATGAGCACGTACATAAATTTTAATTTTGGTTCCTTGTGGACACATTGCTGGTTTACTACCCTTTTTTGGAGACTCCCCTAGCAGGGAATTTGTATCTTCTACTTTTGGGAACTGTGCCTTCATTATGGTTTTCAAGGAGTTTTCAGTAGTAGGCTACAACTCTTGAGTTACTTTTGCATTATTTGATTGTAGAGATAGTAAATTGGCTGGGGCTGTTACAAACCAGCAGGTTTATTTCCCCTAGAGTTTGTCAAAAGCCACTTGCACTGTTTGACAGGTCCAATCTTACATTTGATCACCTATCTCATTTTAAGAGTGTTAAGTAAATAATCTTTCAAAAATTCTGATTTTATTTCAGTGACAGCATACAGAAAGAGTTTGTCTGGTGCAGCTTCTTTGATTCTCCTTGTGTAATGATTTTTTTGTGTGTTGGTCATTATTTAGCTCACCAGTGCTGTCAGAGAATCTCATGTCGTTTCTTTTGCAAAAGTAACAATGGCTGGGTTCTTTTTTGCCTTTCTACTGCCCTGTGGAGTTTGGAGAACAGCCTAGATCTGAGTTCTGTTATTTTTCACAGGTTTTTTATTATGTTTTTAAAGATTGATTTGAGTGCTATTTAATATAGGCATCACCTCAAAAGTAGCAAAGTGACTTGTTAATAGGTTGCAATGGCAGGTAAGTGTGGTTTTCTCTGCTTGAAACATCTGTAACTTAAAAGTGGTGATTCCTCAGGAACCATTACCAGGGCAGAGCCCAACTGCCTGGATTTCCCTGCCCTGGAATGGATCATGCAGGAGTTTGTGTGTGAGGTCGTGTGTGCAGGCTCTGTGTAGCCCTTGTGCAAAATTGCCGATAATTTATCAGGTTCCTGGCCAGGGATCAGTTTGTTCTTGTGTTCCCTGTTTCAGACTGCCAATGGGAACGTGGAAGCCAAGGTGGTGTGTTTCTACAGGAGGAGAGACATCTCCAGCACGCTCATTGTCCTGGCAGACAAACATGCAAGTAAGCTGCTTTGTGTTCAAATGCTTCTGCACAGAATTGTCAGACTTGGGGACAGCTCTGATATTTCAAATATCAGTATCTTAAATGTATTTTTTTCTGTAGTCATCTTCAGCAATTTGCATTACTTCTTTGGCTGACTTTTTTGTCTTTCTACCTGACTCTTTTTTATTTGTTTTGTTTTGTTTTCCCCTTTCCTTAAACCTTCTAATACCTCATTTGTGTATGGTTGGATTTTGGTGGGGACAAGACAGAAGGTTTCAGCTAGGGCTGAGTAAAGATATCTTATTTGCACCACAGAAATTAATTTTTTAATTTTTGGGGCGAGAGAATATATTCTCCCTGTTAATATAACTTCTCATTAATTGTTTGGTTTGTATATTAAAAAACCCCTCAAACATTATTTGAGGGAATCAAGTAGACTGATTATGGGAAAGCAACTTGAAACATGGCCAGCTTGAAACCTGACTAACAGGATTTCTCTTTGAATTTCAATATTAATAATATTTCTTGCAGTGACACAGCTTTTGTCTGAACATGCTCAATAAATAGACTTTGAAAACAGAGAATCTGAGGCTCTCCTATCACTATTTTGAATACTTAAAGCCCTTTTGTTGGGAAGCAAGTGGAGTAACTAAAATATTTTTCTCTTGTAAACAGCAGACTGTGTGAGGTGTAGCTGTGCAGATTGCTTAAAATTTAGCAAAAAGCATGGACAGCCTTATGAATCCTTGTAATTCAGGGCACAGCTATAAATGAGAGGGAAGCAATCAGATATGGGCATGTCAGAGCTGTGATTTAGCTGGCAAGCACCACTGTCTTTAATGTGCTGCTTGGTGTGTGTATCAATAGAGTGACTGGGGATTGATTCAATCAGATACTCAGTTTTAGCAAGGAATATAATGGCTTGCTGTGTTCTCACTGCTTTAATGCCAATTGGGAAAAGATGCAGCAAAACGAATCCCTTACTGATAAATCTGAGTATTTTCTGTTGTAGTTTGTCCAAATAATCCCTCCATTGCAGCCATACCTTGGGAAGAGGTGGTGGTGTTGAGGGAGAGTTTGCTGTATCACAGAATTGTGATGGCAGGCAGAGCTTTTTTGAGATCTCTTGAGTGCAGCAGTATTCATTTTATCTGAGGATGCTGAAGCTCAGTAGGAGCCTCCCCATAAACAACGTGGCTATTGATTCCTTCATCTGTGTCTCACTTCACTAGGTTCAGTAAAGGAAGCAGGTGGGAAGGGTTCACAGAAACACAGAGCTGAGACCGAAAATGAAAAATAATTTGAACCCACATAAATGCTCTTTGAACCTGCAGATGCTGATTTCTCTTTGTGATAAGAAATCTAAGTGGGTTTTTTTTTAATGCAAACAAATAATTCATTGTTCATATGTGTTGTTTGAAAGATGGGAAAATTCTTCTATAGCAAAATCCTAATAATAGAGCAACCAGAGACAACCGAGTCTGCCTCTTAGAGTAAATTTCATTAGTAACTAGCATTTTGTCTAGTATCTTTCTTTCTGGTGCAGAATAAAATTGCTACTGAATGACTTCCATTTATTTAGATAGATGTGCTGCTCTGTGGTTTCCCTTCTTTGTAAGAAGGGAGAAGAGAGAGCAGAATTAAGCTTTTTGGACAGCCATTAGTTCTTTACTCTGAGAAAAAAATCAACATCCTGCATGATATAATGAAATTAAATTTTATAGATGTTAGGATTCTAGCACAGATATTGCACACTGTCACTGACTTTGAGTTCATTTCCATAAAGTCTCCTGTTGCCTCATTTTGATGCATTTGCAGTAGATGTACGTGTCTGCATCGCTGATCTTTTAACTGCCTTTGTTCAGCTGATTAATGGAGCTTTCTGACTGCAGACATTTCTGGATTCACACAGTCTTCTGTTTAAGATGCCTTTATTTTAGACCTACTGTTGAGATCAGTGCAGTGAGAGAGCTAAGCAGTGGGGAGATACTGCTAGGGCATGAATGGAAAAATTGTATGGATATTTTGTTATTTTTTTTATTCTTCCAGTAAAGGAAGGAAAAGATGTAATTGTGAAATCAATGTTTTGAAGTTTTAAAAAAAAAAAGGTCACTTTAGCTTGGGTGATCCATCAGATGTCTGAAATGTTGTCTGTTCTCCTAAGTCTGTATACAGAGAAATGTGTTGGAAGAGCCTTATTCTGAGGTTGGTGACTATAAATTGGTACCTGATGTATGTAACCTGATTCTTGGATTTCATCTGTGATCTTACTATTTTTATCATATGATGTAAAGCTTGTCTGGGCTGTCCTGTAAATCTTTCAGCCTTATGATGTCTTCCATGCTTTGTTAGTGCTTTTTATTCATAAGCCTCTTTAATCACCTCACACATTATTCTAGGGAGTTTCTCCAACTGTTTCTGAAATGAACTTGCTTCACCAGTAAAACACTGTTTTTAGTTCTTGCTGAGAGACTTAGAAAGCAAGATTGCACACAGGACTTGATGGAAGAGAAATGGGAAAGATACTTCACTCCTCAACCTTTTGTTGGATGCTGTCACTGTGTATTTTCTTTATATAATGTCCAACACAGTTTTTAATAATTATTTAAATATTTGCAGCCGTGACTGACCAGTTGGTAGTGGCTGGGGAACTGACACAGCACTGTCTGGATTGGCAGATTTGTGGTTGGTTTTCAGCAGGTGCTCTGGCACACAGGGCAGCTTGGTTTTGGAAATACCAAAGCTTCTGAAAATAGATGTTTGCATGATACCTCTGTGCCTAAACAGGTACAGAGGAATTTACTGAGAATTTTCTTACATTTTAAATAACACCAATCTAAATGAAGTTTGACAATAGCTTCACGAATAATCTCTTTTTATTTCTTCCATTTTATTCTCCTTCTTTATTTTCTCCCAGCCCCACACATGCAGATTTAAGAGGAGTCCAATTCATATATCTACTAATGACACCTTGACTCAGTTGTTGCTGAGAGGAGGGAACTGTGGCTTTTTTCTTTGGGAGTGATGTAATGAGGAAAGATAAAGGCGTCCAAAATATTGTGTGTTTGCTACCTGACACTCTGTCCATGACAAGAGGTGACCACCAGAGCTTTGTGGCAGGGGATCCACACTGGTTATGTGGCAAACTCCCCCTCAAGTCTCAAGGTGTAAGGATTCCTGCCTGTTCAAACTTTCTCCATGTTTTCTACAGCTATGAGTCAAAATCTGTTTTTTTGTAGAGAAAAAAGGATTAAGGCTACAGCTTCATACAAGGCATTTGAAACTGAACCTGAAAAAAGGAACCTTCTTCCAGGTTGTTGTATTTTAATTTAGGCAACATTTCTAGAATGTTCCTCTAAGGTCCTTAGTTAAGCTGTTAAAGCAGCCAGAGTTGCAGTTTCCTTTGCTATTGTGCAGGTCAGTAGCACTGGTTTTACTGTGTTTCCCAATGATTTGGCCCCACTCTGTTTCTTTATTCTTTACATTATTTTGCTGGTTATAGCCATGCTAGCTAATTTTTGTGTTACTGCAGACTGCTTCCCAAGCTGGTAAACCTTGTCTGCTCTCTAAACCTGATTTCTGTGTCTTGTTTACCTTCGTGCATTTCTGAATTCTGTCATGTAGCTACTTGTATGACACCCAAAATGCAGAGAAAGGGCTGCTGCTTTTCTGCTTTTGATGCTCTGGAGAGCCCAATCTGATCTATAGCAAATTGCTATTCTTTCTCGTGTCTAGCAAATATTGATGTTTAATTTCACATCTCACACACCCAGTCATTTTAAATTACAATTACTGCCTCTTGGGTTTCTCCTGCCAACTCAAAGTTTACTCTTTCTAATTATTTTCCCCATATATGTTAGCTTTCACACAAGTTGCTGTTTGTGCCTAATCTGCCTATCTCTTGTTCCTAATATAAGTCATCTTCAAGCTTTGCTAATGTGCTATTAATGATTCTGCCATTAAATATCAAATGATACTTAATCTAATGCACTTCTTGCAGCATTCCACTGGCTACTGCTGCATAGCTGATATATTACTGTTTGTATTAAGATTAAATGTTTAGTTTCAAATCTGCACAGGCACATCTATCAAGCAGAAAGATTAATTTGAAGTAAGGCTTTATGAGAGCACTGAAGTCCCAATGTACTGCACCTCCTGTATTCCCCACACCACTTATTCCACAGTACTGTAAAGAATGCAGGCAAATCTGTCTGAAAAGATTCCTTGGATATTTTATCAATATGTGTTTCTATTTTTTAAAGATTTTTTTCTCAGATGTGTTTGTTTGTTATTTCTTGGAATGTTCCTGCCTCTGTCTGGAGGTGCTGTGACAGTTTTACTGCTGTGTGTGAGGAAAATGTTTGTTACCTGTAGAAATGTCTGTCTGTTTTTGAAAAGAAATATGTTGTGCTTTTTGGTTTTGAGAGGCTGTTCATGGCAGAGCTGCCATAAGAACACGTGTGCTCCTCCACCTCCTGTGTTTTATTACAAAAGCAAGACACATAAATAAAATACTGCTTGGAAGGTGAGCCTACCTGAAGGGATGCAGTCTCTGGGATTAGTTTGGTTGTGCTGGGTGCTTTCCTTTTGTCTGTAGATTCCATTGGCACAAAGGGGTTGACATACTTTTTAGAAAAATGTAATTTCTAAAAGCTGTAGGCTATCAAATATACTGAAGATACAAACTATTTGAGGTTGCTCCTTGTAGTATTTCCCTGCATTATACAGTGCACTACTGTCATTTCCAAAGGCTGCTGTAAGTACAGGCATGAATTCCCTTTTCCTTTGTGCATCCTTCAGTTTTCAGGCAAATGAGCTTGGAACTTGCTGGATTGTTCGTGGTATATTTACAGTGTAGGCTAGCAGTCACAATATTAATTTTCATCTAAAACAGAATCCACTTCAGTAAATAAATTGCAGACCCATGAGAGTGTGCAACAAATGTAAATTTGGTGTTCTAGTTCCCAAGAAAATATTAAAACCTAAGTACATGCTGCTGTGTGGTTACCAGCTCATGTGGTGTAGCAGCTATTGTGTGTTGAAGTCTGGTTAATTATGCTGCTCTTTTTTTCCTTCCTTGCTGGAGCAGCCTACCTGATGAGCAAATAAACTGCAGGTCTTTTTTTTTCAGGACAGGAAAATGGTGATAAATTGTGGGCAACCTGAAGGGAACATAATTTTTTGTCACCACCTTTGGTGTAATGGTGGCCTGTTTTAAACTAAATGCAATTTTAGTGTTTTATAAAATGGAGATCTTTGTTTGCTTTATTTTTGGGATAACTATGGGGATTTTAGTTAACTAATCTTAAGGGTATATAAATCATAACTGTGTCTGTATGTGTTTCTCATTAGAAATGTTTTTTGGCAACAACTGTTGAATTAAGCTGGAGGCATAAGTCTGCTCTTTTAGGGTAATGCTGCTGTAAAATTAAGAGTTTTACAATTCATGCATGAGGCTTTACAGCTCATTCTACTACAGTCTGGGAAACTTTGCCTGTGGTTTTGCAAAATACAAGTAACTGCATTAATTTCTTAGAGAAGGGAAAGGTCTGATCTCTTCTTTCTCAGTCATTTGTCATGGAGGATCTTTGGAGTTTTTTACTTTGAGTATTTTACCCTTTACAGCTTTAGCTGGCGTAAGTGGCAGAATACTTCTTAACAAACACAAAACATACAATTTATTTCCTAAAAGCAAGATGCTTGAAGATGTTTGGGATCAGTTGCATGTCAGTGTGGGTGGGATTTCATGTATTTACTTTGGTGTATGTTTGAGAACTGGCTGGATGGAGATTGGATAGCTCCAAGGCAGAGGTGGTGGATGCTGGCTGCTGCAGTGCAGGAGTGCTGCAGTTGGATGTGTGTGCTGTGGCTTGGGCAACCAGGGTGGCAGGAGTGGCCCCAGGCACTTGGTTACATTCCAGTTAATCCTGTGCCTGTGGTTGGGGTGAGGAGAGTACAAAACAACACTAATTAAATAAGCTGCCCTTTCCAGTGGGCATTTCCTGCTGAGGCTGGTAAAGCTGGCGTGGGACAGTGTGATGTCCTGAAAGAGGAGTAGGGTTTGTGACAACTTGTGCCTGGCAAAGAGGAAAGACTTCAGTATGCCTCACACATCATGTGTCAGCTTCTGCTGGATGAGTCTGGTGCACTGATAATCTCCAAAAGCAGCTCTCTCTGTCTCTCTCTCTCCAGATTTGTGTCTTCCAGCTTGGTGTGACCTGTGTGTGCCTGGGGTAATTTGTTGTTGCTGGTGAATAAATAAAATTCTTCACAGGCATAATTTCAAGAGTACTAATCGTGTAATTGTTCAGTTGGCCAAAATGTTACATTCAATCTTATTAAAGTTTGTTATTTAGCAAAGGTTTTGGAGCCGGTCATTCTGTCTTGCCCGAAGTCAATCCATGTCTTGTTCTTGATCAATTTTGTCTCTTTATGACTAGGAGAAATGGAAGAGGAGATGGAAAATCCAGAAATGGTTGATTTACCAGAGAAACAGAAGCATCAGCTACGACACCGTGAGTTGTTTCTCTCACGACAGCTGGAATCTCTGCCAGCCACACACATTAGGTAATGACTGTTTTCTGCCATTTTATTAAAAAATCACACAACACTGTTATTTTTCAAGTGCTCTTCAATGTAAGCTCAACTTCAGTGACACCATCTTGTGAATCACACGAGCATTTAGGATGTATTTTTTCATGAGATGTGTTTCTCTTTTTTTAGAGGCAAATGCAGCGTTACTCTGTTAAATGAGACAGAATCCCTTAAGTCGTATCTGGAACGGGAGGTAAGGAACCATTTTGTGCATTGTAAAGCTTGAACAGTTTATTCTGGCACAATTTAGGTTTGGTGCCTTTTTGCAAGTCTTCTAAAAAGAGTTCTTTCATTTCTGCATGTACTGGGCATTGACAGTGGGAAGCTTTAGGCTCTGTACAGTCTTCATTGTGCATAAAACTTTGTGGGTCTGGGGGCCAGACCTTGTGTTCACATCTCTGTGTGACAGTGAGCTGCCTCTCCTTCTGTAAAGTGAACCCAACTTGCTCATCAGTGTGGCAAGGCTGAGAGCTCCAACCTGGGAGATGCTGTAACTGTAGAGCTGGGAGCAAGCTGTGCTTCTCTGTATTTGCTTTATCCTGAAATCATACAGATTTATGTTAATATGCTTTAAGCTTGATCTTGCCTCAGATTTTTGAGGAGCTTAGTTCCCTGGTCTTTGCGTTCATTGGTCAAAATACTTATCTGGACTCCTTCATAGACCACCACTGACACTTAAATCCTTGAAAAACTGCTTGTCAGGTGACATCTGACAGAAATTTACCCAGTCTCTTTTTAAAGGTATCTCAGACCAAAACTTGAAACTGAATTGTCTTGCACAGTTAAACACCATTCAGAATATAAATATTGGGCTTTACCTTTAATTGTGGCTAGACCTCTGCCTGGTGGCTGGGTTAGACAGTCTTGGAGTCTGACAATCTGTGAGAGATTTACTGTGGATATTAGCAAAGAACTTCAGGATATTATTATTTGAACACATCTGCAAGCAAATAATTTGCATCTGAAAACATTGAAATGTTATACAAGAGAGGAAATCTTGTAATTAAAACCAGTAGGGCGATGGCTGTTAGTGGCCTTTAAGAAAGGAGAAAAGAGGCCATTTTTTGCAAGGAGCATACTGCAGTTTCTCTCATAGCTGGGCTTTCTTTTGAAATGCTTTTGTAGCTTTCTTCAGTATTTATTTAAGCATCAGATTAGTTTTAATCTGATACTTAGTTTAAGAGAATTTTAACCAAGGCACAGGGATTACATAGTTGAGTTTCTCTTTGGAATGTGAAACCAAAAAATGTCGGCTCTGCTGCAGGCTGCCAAATGGCAGAGCATCAAACAAGGGACGTGGTATTCAGCAGTGCTTGTAACCAGCTAGAAGCCCAGGATATGCCAGTTTGAAAGCACAAGTTAATCAAACTGAAATGATTTCAGATTTTTTAGTACCCAACGTTTTCTTAAGTAGTGTTTGTTCTCAGTTGCTCCCAACATATTTTTATTATCACTGGTGTTACAGGTAGGTGTGCTGAGAGTGAAGGGAGATGCTTTCCTCTGATCATGCAATGCTCAGCTGCAGATGTATGCACAGAAAGATAATTTGCTTTCCCATCCTTTTGAACTTTGAAAATGCAAGATGAGTGATGTGGGTTATTTTTAGAACTGAGCAGGCACTTAGAGATTTCACAGAATGAGAGAGTTCCCTGAATGTGTCCTGTCACTTAGCATGGCATTTTGCTGTGGTGCAAACTAACTTGGACAGATGGTAAAGAAATTAAAAGCTCAGGAACACAAATATGCTGGGGTGGAGGGTAAAGAGATTAACAAACGGAGATAAGTTTTGCCCAATGGGTTCCTAACACTTCATGGTATTGTTTTGAACTGTTTCTTCTTTCCCCATGCCTCCTGTTCTTAATCCAACTTTTGCTTTCAAAATGTTTCAGGGTAGTTCCTTTTTTTCTAACGTGACTTTTGTCAATAAAGCCTAAGCAGTTCTAGGGAACCTGGTATTTGATTTCCCAAATGTTATGACCATTAAAAGTAGGCTTTCAGCCTTGAAGCAGTTTAAACATCCAGACAGAATTTTTTAAGAAGGTAGTAAGCAAAGCAAAATGACATTTTTGCTATCTCTGTTCTCCTCCTCCACCCTTTCTCTGTCATCTTGCTCAGGAAGATTGCCTTGCATGTTTGGAGAGCAGGCTGGAGGGGACAGTAATGACTCTTTCACTGTGCCTCTAAAATTTGTAGCAGAAGTGAAGAATAGCAGGAAATAGAGGGGGGGAAAAAAAGGCAACTAGAAAACCTGAATTTTCTATAGACACCTAATTCCCATGGAGATCATAGCCAATTATGGCAAAAGCACTAGATTTCCCTATTCTGCAGGAACCTGTTTTGAATGTACATCTATTTTGCTGCTCTGCCTGGCTATATCCAGAGGCTTGTGTGAATCTGCCTGCTGAGCAGATGTCTGGCATATCTGTTCCTTTTGGTAGCCCCCTAAAAATAAAATGTTCTCTGGTTAAAATATATCAAATACATGAAAGTAAGTTTGCAAGCTGCAATGAAGTAACCATTATTTCTGTGGTGTACTTTGGCTTTTCTTTCTCCAGTTTCTTGGTGACTTCGGTTCTTGGCATAGCTATGGGTAGCTTAGGGGCTTGGGTAGGGGAGCTCTGAGCAGATCTGTCTCTCTAGCAGTTGAGAGAGGCAGAAAGTCATGATTCAATTTTAACTCTTGGCAGGTCATGTTAATTTTTTCTGAATGTGTTGGGCGTTTCCTGGGCTCTGAAATGAGAAGAGAAAACCCTTCTCTGACTGCTGCAAACCCAGCATGCACAGTTTGACAGCACAAATGAGTGTGGAGGATTTTGAAGAGCAGTTTTATTTTGTTGTGAACATCACTCTTGTGAAACCCTTGTGAAAAATTGCTCTCCTCACATAGTGGTGGTCAGGAGTTCACACATGCTTTAGAGTACACGAGGATCTGGTTTGTTCTTAGTTTGCATTGGCACTAAGCTGATGTGTGTTAATGTTTTCAGCAGTGCCACTCAGTCTGCAGGAATGAATCTCAGTGTCTGTGAGGGAAGATGGCACTGGTGTTGTGTTACCTCTAGGGGTTGCAGTCTCTGTAGAATTCACACTTGGGCCCCCAGGCTGCCATCTCTCCTCTGTTGAGGAGGCTCTGGATGGGGAGAAGAGACCAGAGGATTTTCATTCTTTTCTTCAACCTGATCGATTTGAGACAGAAATGGACAAGACATAAATGGATGACCTGAAACTAATTGAGATTTTGTAGACAAAATTCCTAGTGATAACCAATAAAAGAAAAGCAATAGGGCATCTAACAATCAAATATGATGGGAGAAACCTCCTCCACAATGTATGACTTTCCTTGGCCAAAAAAGACTAAAGAAATTGCCTGTGGAATTGTTCTTCTTTGGGGCTCACTGTGTTGTTACTCTGCAGTGTGTTGTCTATTTGCTGGGCAACATGCCTTCAAAGCATTAATGTTGCACTGCATATACTTTGTCCTGCAGTCAGATATTTTGGAGCTGGAACAAATTAAACACTGTATTTATAACCTGGAAGCCTGTGAGACAAAAGCTTTCCCTACATTTCATTTCCACAGTGATAACATTCTCAAACTGTTGCAATGTCTTGAGCTTTGAGTGTGTCAGGGAGCAGGAGACCCAGATTTCTTTACATAGATGTGATAGAAATGAATTTTCTTATGCTCTGAAGCTGCCTTCTGCCCGTAGGTTGATGTAACTTGACCCTGGTGTCTGTGGGAGTAGGAGTTTTTTCAAAAGTATCATTTGCTTAGGATGCAATCAAATCCTCTGACCCTGAACCCAACTACAGACAACCTTTCCAGTTGAAGTTCAGTTGTCTTCCAGAATTTTTGCCATGTTACTGTGGAAACTTGCAGCAATTCTTCTTTTTCTGGGGCTGTGCATGACAGATTGGGAGACTCTCTTTTCCTTTGCCACCTCTTCATAAAGCTGAACAGGGCTTGAAACTCTTGCTGGTTTTGTCCTAATTTTTGTTGCATGCTGTTGACACATACAAATATAGGGAAAGGGAAAAATGAGGTGAGCATGAAATGAGATTTATTTAAACAGGGTGCCTGCTAGTGCCAGAGAAATAAGGGGAGTGAAAAAATAAGCCAGAAACCTGAGATATGGAAAATGGCACACTGCACATCCTGTTTGTGTTGAGACAATTCTCCTTTCTGATGAACATTTTGCTGTGGACAGAGGTTATAAAAGGTCTGTTGTTCCATGTCCTACCAGAGCTTTAATCCTGCCCAGAACTGCACACTATATTTGGAGCATACCTGGTCAATAGCTATAGCTCAGTACTTATCCATGCAGAAAAGTTTAATTACTTAAACTGTACAGTTTTAGGTAGTTAAAAATTTTGGCTGGTTCCTTTCTCTGCCCTGGCAGAACATTCTCATTCTGGAATGCCTTCTTGCTTTAATTTTACACACCAAGGTAGCGGAAGCCAAGCAGCTATTTTAGCCTTTTCCACATCTACTTGAACAAAAGCAACAAATTAGTGGATTGCCACCTGCAGCTAATTACTGCTGCTGCCAAATCTGCTGCCCCTCTCCTAATAATGAGCAGAAAGAAATGTGCTGCTTTAAGCTTAGATGGTAGCAGGCAAGAAGTTGGTCAGCAGCACATCCCTGTGCCAGGGAAAGCTGAGCACATCCTGGTCTCTGTTAGCAGCAGTGTAGCCAGCAGATGGAGGGAAGGGGGTCGTCCCCTCACTGCATCCCTTCTGAGACCCCTTGTGTTGGTTTTTGTCCAGCTTTGAGCCTTGCAGCATGAGAGACATTGACAGATTAGAGCAAGCCCAGCCGAGGCCACAGGGTTTGTCTGGGGTTGCATTAGTCTGGCTGTAACATTCTGAAGTTGTGCTTCAATATGTGCTGGTGTTTCTGTGTGGATAGGTCACTGATGTCTAATCCTCCTGGTTTGGAATATAGGAATTGCATGGGATGTGGCAATTTTGTGTTCTGAAGCAGCTGATGTGACTAAAATTGTGTCCTGGCCTTTCTGAATCTTGCATGTGCAAGAGGAGCTTTGTTCACTTTAATTTGAGAGGCTTTATGTTAAGAGAGAGACCGCTGTTGAGAGCTAACACTTGTTATATAGAAGAAAGTAGCAGCACTTAAATGGAGTTTTTAAACTGCTGGTTTATTTACTTTTTGTTCACCCAATTTTAAAATCTATATATACACGTAATGAAACCACACTTAAACTGTAAAAACTTGGTAGTATGGTTGCAAAGCTGGGAGTAAAAGCTAATAACACTGTTTACCTTTTTGCTCTTGTTTTATTTTTAGGATTTCTTCTTTTATTCACTAGTGTATGATCCTCAACAAAAGACTCTGCTTGCTGATAAAGGAGAGATTCGAGTTGGAAACAGATACCAGGCAGATATAACAGACTTACTAAAAGAGGGTAATTTATGTAATTTATTTAAATTGTCAAGAGTTCATGTTGAGCATGGCCACTTCTCTGTGTGAGGCCTGCCTAGGTGTGGGAGATGGTTTCCACTGCCAGGCCATGTGTGCAGCAGTGGCTGCCTTTGGGGAGGCTGTTGCCCACTGAAGGCAATTAGTTCTCTTGCAAATGGGTCTTTAAATGGGCACTCATCCAAATCATAAAAGTTGTTGAAATAAATTGAATTAATGGGCTCTCTCGGAGCTTGCACTCTTTTTATTAAGAGATTTCAGAATTTCCACGGGAAACACAAATTTCCATCACATCTGTAAAGCCTTTTGTGTTTTTAATCAAGCCTCACTTCCCTATAAGAGCCCCTCCCAAATTACTGCCAATTAAATGCTGTCTGCCCTCATCAATTTGCCCATTACTGCTGGGTGCCTTTTCCCTGGAGCCCTCTCCCCATGCCAGTGTTGGCTGCCAGCCTGGACTTCTCACCTGCAGAACAGGCAGGAGGAAGAATTTGCTGGCTGGAGCATGCATTGAGACTTGAGCCTGTGTCATGGAGCAGTGGGGCTGTGAGGGCCTGAGGATGAGGGAGAAGTAGCAGGAACCAGGAATATTTATCAGATAGTACCTAACTTTAGATTTGTCTCTGCACTACCCTACAGATCCTAAAGTGGGTGGAAGAACTGAGAGGGATGAGGAGTGTTGGTATCTAATTGTCCTTTCCTGAGCCCTGTGTAATGCAGAGGGAAAGGTCTATCCATAAGCTGCTCCTAGGAGAGAGAGGGTTGTGTGTGACCTGTGTTGGGAAGACCCCATCCAGTCAGGATGGGCCAGGATGTGGAAGCAGAGGTGCTTCTGTCTTTGCTTAGAACCTCTCCTGACACTGTTAATCTCATCAGGCAAAAAAAAGGGTCGGGATTCTTGTTTAATTTGTCTATGGAACCAGTATTTATCCAACAGCGGGGCCAGTCTCCTAAGTGAGGATGAACTAATCTGAAAGGCATCCTGTTCCCTCAGTGGGCCGACATGGGGCTTCAGAGAAGGATAATTGCCAGATGTTTTAAAGGAAGCAGAAAGAAAAAGTCTCAGTGGCTGCTGTATTTTGCCAGGGTATTGTGGCTTGTTTAGACTCAGGAAAATGAAGAGTGTCTGATGCCATGGTTTCCCCCCTAGAAAGCAGCTGAGATGAGTTGAACCAGCTACTCTTTGCCTGCTCAGAGCAGCTTGGAGTGTGTCTGTTTTCCTGGAACTGCTGCAAGATAAAGGAGGAAGACAGATGAGCTGGGGAAAGAGACTGAAAAGAAACTGTCTAGTTTGGAGAAAGATGCACTCTGTTTTCCATGACATATCCTCTGACACCAGTTTGTGGAAATCTGATTGCCCAATTTGGATGAGCTGTGTTGCTGTGTCTGTCATGCTGAAATTGTCTCATACAAATAAGTGAGTGAATTTTCACAGTGGCCTGTTAGGCAGAGTAACTGAGATGGGCTAACAGTGACATTACTGTGAGATAAAAAAGGAATCTAGAAAGTACTCATATTTTAAAAGAGCCGTACTAAATACTTCTGATTTGTTTTTCAACCAGGTGAGGATGATGGAAGAGATCAGTCAAAACTTGAAACAAAAGTTTGGGAAGCCTTTAACCCACTAGTAGACAAGCAGATAGACCAGTTCCTGGTGGTAGCACGGTAAGAGTATTTCCCCTCTCCTTTGAAGAAGTGTTTGTAACTCTTCCAGGCACTTTTTTGTGTTCTTTTTTGTTTTATGAGCATGAGTGCTGGTTCTGGTTGCTTGATTCACTTGCTCCATTTTAAAATCATGCTATTCCCATTTTTACATGCCTTCATGGGAACAGCATGACTTTAGGAACAGCTCTTCAGATTTACAACTTGGTTTCATAAAAGCAAAGCGAGTTGCATGTGAAAATGATCTTGTAGATGGTGGGGTTTTTTGAATACTTTAGTCAGCATGCAGAAGACTTAGTGAATTAAATTCTTGCCAGTTCTTTGCTCTGTCCATTTACTGCTTTTTTCAAAGCCAGTGACACTTTAACATCCATTAATGGTTTGCTAAGAATTCTGGTAAATGCTTATGATGGGCTGAGGATACTTTCTAATGCCTGGATTCCAAAACCTTGCAAATCTCTACTGATGTTTTCATTTAAGCCCAAAGCAATCTTTGTTGATCAACTCTTCTTTACAAAAGGTTCTTGAACTAATTCATTGGTATCCATTTCTATAAACAGAAGCCTCTATTCAATTTTAGGCTCTCATAGCAATTGATGACTGAATAATTCAGGGAAAAAATACACAGTAACACTCTCCAAATTCTCTGTGTTTTAGGTGGTACTTTTAAAGGTGAACCCTGCTCTGTCTGCCTTTTTTTCCCCTTCCCCCTGTTGGGTTTTCACGTGGTTTGGTTTGCAGTGACAGTGGAGCTGCTTTGTGATGGGCGTTTCCACCTTCTGCTGGCAGAGCTGGTTTGAGTGGCTCTTTGTGGCAGTCAGTGCTGCCCACTGGGTTTGCTGCTGCAAGGAGAATCACTGCAAAGATGAGTGCAGGAATTGCTCTGTTCAGTATCAGCAAAGTGTTCCAGTTTATAATTAGTTCACACGTACAGAAGTATCAGTTCAGCTGAAGCTGAGCTCGGGGGAGTTGTGGGGCAGGGATAGTGACTGGGAGGAGAGTGAGGTGTGAGTCACCACAGACACTGATGGGGGAGGCTTGTTTGGATTTTGGCCAGAATTAGATGTTTGACGACAGCTACTTGTCAAACATTTACCTTTCCTGCTCCTGCCCTGCTTGGCCCCAGTGTGTTCCTCTGTGCTCTCAGCTGCTTTGGGGAAGTGAGCTGAGTGCAGGGGGAAAACCCAGCCTGCCTGTTTTGTTGTTGTTGTTGCTCAGAGGAGTTCAGCTCCAGTTCACTGTGCAGCAGCACAAGTGTTGCACCCATGTGGTGTAGCAGGCAAGCGGGGGAGTAGGGATTTTGAGAACCAATGCTTGTTACAGGTTTCTCCAAATAATTTCTTTAGGAATAAGGTGAAGAGCATGGGGCTTGTGGTCTCAGATGCAGAGATGAGTTGTGAAGTATTTGAGAATTGCTGTGTTATGCAGGCTTTATGAAATATATATAATACAAGGTTAAGTTGTAAAATATTGTTTCAAATTTTCTGCAACTTTTAGAAAAACGCTTGCATTGCATTTTTTGTGTCTTTTCTTGGCATCTGTCTCTGTACCTTTTGGACAGTGCAGCACTGCTCTTTGTCATTGTGAAGGAAATTATTGTCATTCATAAGGCTTGCTTGTGCTCTGTTCCTGTTGCAGCTCAAGTCTGTTGGGAGATAAGGGATAAGAGAGTAGCTCAAAACTCCCCATTGGTGACCCCTGAGTCTTCCTCTGTTTCCTCTGCCATGCCTAAGCCTCTTCAATCATATGAACTAAGTAAAGTGCTCACAATAACAAACCACATTTGGAGAGAATGGTCTGTGGCTCAGAATGAGCCATGTAATCTTGTAACTGGGAAATGGAGTCTCTCATCTCAAAGTGCTGGCTGGGTGTTTATATTTATGCTGGGTTTGCACGCGAAGTTAACGCTGTGTTTGATTCCTTTCAGGTCTGTTGGTACTTTTGCCCGAGCCCTGGATTGCAGTAGTTCTGTCAGACAGCCAAGTTTGCACATGAGTGCTGCAGCAGCCTCCAGGGACATCACACTGGTAAGATTTTCTTTAGGGGACCTTAAGTTTGTGAGAGATGCAAAATATTCACCTCAGCATTAACAGTTGGCAAAGAGGAAGGGACAGATGGATTGTAGTTGTGGCTTGCTGTGAAGCAGACCCTGCTTTTGAAAAGGAATCCTTTAGTTACAGATGAAGTAACTTCTTCTGGCCTTGTGCCTCTTATGATCCATCATGGATAATACTATGAGGCAATTTTTTTTTTTTTTTGCTTAGTTTTATTAAAATAGTCTGATGACATGCTTGACAGCTCATCCCTTGCACGGGCTCAGTAGCTCTCTGGAGAAGAACACAAATTATTGTCTGCCTGTCTGTAGTGTTACAATGCCAGAATGCCATTCTTCATCACTTCCCCAACACCAGATTGTCACTGGCATCCTTGGGTGAGATTGACCAAGGATGTCTGGGGGAAAAGCTTGTGGTCAGATAAGAAATGTCAGTTGATACTGTTCTCTTTGACTGCCAGTTGAGAGTACCTGAGGAGTAGTGATATTGTTAACATTTCATAATCATAAATATTGCTGAGTAGATCAAGGAAAGGGAAAAAACTTGAACTTTCATGCTGCAGAAAGTTGAATGAAAATTTGAATAAAATATCTGAAGTCTCCAGAGAACTGTTATGAAAGCCTCACCTCATTACTGGAGTAATGTAAACTTATACATAGAACAAATGCCAGTCTAGAACAGTGTAGGTTAATTATGCACACACACAAAACTGGTATGATGAAAGGCAAATAACATCCTGATTAAAACTGCAGAAACGTGGAAATAAAGCCAAGCTTTCATTTACTAATAGCAATTCCTCCCTCTCAGCATGTTCTCAGCCCTTATAAATCACAAGTTGCAGACAGCCATAGCTCGGCTTTCTGAGGAGTAATTGCCCCTGAGAGTCATTCTTTTTTCCTATTCAGCTGTGATGTGTGACTTAACTTGAATCTTTGTTGAGGTTTCTGCCCTTAGGGGGGGGGATGTATACATGTGTTGCTGCTCTTGTTTTTCATATATGAAATTTTTGTGGATTATTTGACAAAGAACATGCATGGCTATGTGTGTGAGGAAACGCCCTTGGATCTCTTATCTCCATGCCCCATCTGGGGATGGTGGCTCAGTCCTGGGGGGAGGGGAGTGGATCTATCCTGTGCTTCTTCTCACCAGCAGTGCTGCAGTGGTGGTGGTGAGGAGCTGATAGGAATAATTGATACACAAATTATTAATTGATCCACAAACCTCACTATTAATGAATGTTATGTTTGTACACTGACAGCTGCAGTCAGTGTGAGGTTGCAACCAGCTTTTGCTGACTTTTCCTTAGGTACAGAATGCCACACCTTCCCATCTCAGTGCAGAATTTGTCATTGCTGTTTCACTGTTGAACATTTTCCCCCCAGATACTTGTCCTTACGTTTCTTTCTCCTTTCCAACCCCCTAGTTCCATGCTATGGACACTTTGCACAAAAATGTCTATGACATTTCCAAGGCAATCTCTGCACTTGTGCCACAAGGTGGGCCAGTCCTGTGCAGAGATGAGATGGAGGAATGGTCTGCTTCAGAGGCAAACCTCTTTGAGGAAGCACTAGAAAAATATGGAAAAGATTTCACTGACATTCAGCAAGATTTTGTAAGTATATAAAAAGGTGCCCCTGTGGTGACTGGCTCTGACTGGTGGCAGAGCTGGCTTGCAGCTTGTCTAAAGTGTGTTCTTCATTGTGTGAGCAAGGGGGCTTTGAATTGGAGTGTGTCTTGCTGTAAAGTGGGGACAGGCAGACCTCATACTAGTGACAGCCTGGTGTACAGTCAGAATTTCAAACCACAGATGATAGTTTTTCCTGTAGAAAGATTAATTTAGGATCATCTGTTCCACTACAGCCGAGGGAGGATGTAGGAAACTGTTGTGACAGCCAAGCTGCTCTAGAGTAATTTGTGTTTGAAGGAAGATAAGTATTTGGCCTTCTGAAACATGAAAATGTAGCCACCTTTTACAGTATGGTTTCAGAAAGGGCCTTTTGAAAGTTTTCAAAAGAAATCCTGGGCATCCAAGGGAAGTGTTCTCTAGTTTGGCCAAAGCACCACCCTAGGTGCTCAGCCTGCAGATTGAATGGAGCCCTGTAAGAAGAGCCAAGTTTCACTGTGTCATTGTTCAGATGCTCTGGAACAAAACAAGTAGTTTGTGTTGTTTGTCCTGTGCTCTAATCTATTAGAGGGACTTGGAAACAGCAGCACATTCTGTGGTCCTGCTGAAATCCTCATGCTTCTCACACAGAGAACAGAGCTGGCAGGGCACAATTCTGTTAGCAGTTTGTTTTTTGTTTTTTTTTTTTAATGGGCCAGCTCCATTGAAGCCAAACTTATCAGAGCTGTGATGCTGTAGTTGTGACTCTTGCTTTAACTGCTGCTGAAGCAGAGTCTGAGCCTGTGGGATTCCTTCCACATTGTGCCTCTCTGGAATGGTTTGCTGTCAGCCAGTGCAGCATGAAGATTTACCTGCAGCCTGTTCCACTTGTAAACTGAAAGCTCAGAGTATTTTGAAAGGGCATTTAATTTAACATGGGTCCCATGTGCATCTAATCCCCTTTGTAGATTCAGACTCCTCTTTTTTTTTTGAGGAGGGCTAGTAGTTGCAAGACTGCTGCAACCATCAGTCAGAAGAATCCTGTGAATTTCAGTGAGACTGTGTGCCAGCTGCCTTCAATAAATGCTGTTTTTCCTTTGTGTCCCCAGCTCCCATGGAAGTCCTTAACAAGCATTATAGAATATTACTATATGTGGAAAACTACAGACAGATATGTTCAGCAGGTAAGAGAGTCAGAATCACCTCCTTCATTCTAACAGAAATTGTTTTTCATGCCTGTGAAACCAAGCCTTGTTTCTCTGTTCTCCCTCTTGGGATTCAGCCTTTCCAACAGGTGAGTTCTGTTATGATCAGAACAATCTCTTGTCCCTAAACTCATCAGCCTTTCTAGATACAAACAGCATTGGCAAGAGTGCATTCTTCTCATGTTTGCTGCTACCCTGTGTGCTCTGAGCTTTCTGATGTCTGGTTTGGAGTTCAGCAGAGGAGGGAAGGCAGGGCAGTTGCTGTTTGAGTGTGGAGTTCAAGGTTCCCTTCAGTGACTCCTTGGAGGGGCAGTTGCTGTGCAGGAGGCCCCACCCTGCTTCCCCAGCCCTGCTGCCCATGCCTTGGGGGGCAGATGCACAAGGCTGCCCCATGGAAGCTCTGTGAGTCAAGTGCTTACCTGGGAAGTGTCACTGCCTCCAATTCCCAGGCTTGTTGTACTTGAGAAGCAACTTTTGAGTGGTGTTTACCATCATTTTTATCTCTGCTTGTTTAAATACAAAGGGTGGTCCCTGAAATAAAGCAAGCACAATGCAAGCAGCATGCAAATTCTTGCAGAGTATCAGTTGCTGAAAACTACTCACAGTATTTGACAGGAAAACTGAGTAAAAGATGGAAGAAATTTAGAATGGGTTTTTCATTATAATTATCAGTCCTAAGATGAAGCATCTAGTTGAGGTATTAGAAGAAGTAGAATTGTGACAATGTCCTGCCTTAACTTGTTTCCTTGGAAATTCAACCTGGGGTAAAGACTAGGTGCCTGAGGCATTGACCAGTGTTTGCCATGTGCTGTAATGTGATTTTTACCATTTTCTTTCTGGCTGGGGCACTGTTGAAATTAGAGGTACCCTCATGACAAATGAGAACTCTTTTTTTGCATCAATTATATTTCACTTTTAATAAAAGTATTAGTGGCATCCTCATTCCACTGTTTCCCCAAGTTCATTCTTGACTGAAACTTTTCATTCCAGTTAGAAAGTGGATGGTAGAAACATGAGATGGTGATGGAAGCTGGCATGGTTGGGAAGAATAATGCTCATGGCTTGGTTTTTCCTTCCCCATTGTTTTCTCCATTTTCCTAAAGTTAGTTTTTACATAGACAAAATTGCGGAGGAGATAATTATGTGAAGACTTGAATTATTTGCTCTTGCAGCAGTTAAAGAACACCTTAAGCCTAAAGTTTCTTATACTGGTTTGTTCTGTTCTTGGGCACTAGGTTTTCTCTCTTGGTTATGCTGCACCTTACATGTGCTGCCCAGGAGTTCACCAGGGTGTAGGATTTGGGGAAAACTTCCAATTAGAGGCTCTGCTCTTAGGGGACAGTATAAGCTGAACAGGTAGAAGCTGCAGTGCAGAGATACCACATCAATTAGGTCTGAACTGAGCTGAAGACCTCATCTCAAATTCCCAGCTTGTACAAGCAAATAATACCATGAAACATTTATAAAAAGCTTGAGAGATCTATCTATATGTAACCACAAAGAGAAAGCATAGGAAGTTGTAGTTCAAATAATGGTGTATTACATTTGTGTTTTACTTGATGAGTGCAGTGTCTTTGACAAAGTACATCTGTTACCATTATTTCCATCTGTTTCTTCACAGTGTTTGTTCTAGGCAGACTCTTCCCTTGGTCTAATACCACAAAATGTTTGAGGGCTGACAGCGTTTTTGTGTATAAGATATAGAAAGTATCCCAAGTAGGGATATGCAAAGTGTGTACCTCGAGTTTTTGCACTTCCACTTCCCTCTTTCCAAGAGCATTATTAAATTATATTGCAAATCTGTATGTTACAGGGTTTAATAAAAGTATTAATAACTTGCTTGTTCTTGTAAAATCTTTGGTTGAATGAACATTAAAAGTGCATTTAAATTGTCTGTTTCTGTGAGTTAGAAAACATAGCAATGAAGGTTTGTGTCACCAACCAATTACCTGCTTGGATGAAGAAGCAAGAGTTAGTTGGGAGCTGTTTGCATCCTTTGCATTTCTGTGTTTCCCTTGATGTTTTCTTGGCATGAGGGAACACTGCCATAATACTGAATCAGTCTCTGTTTCTTGCCATTGAGGAAGGGACATTTTGAGTTCCTTTGACAGAAGGCCCATTCTGGGAGCTGAACAGTAACTTGTACTCCTGTTGGTGGGGAAGAATAATGCTCATGGTTTTTCCTTCCCCATTGTTTTCTCCATTTTCCTAAAGTTAGTTTTTACATAGGCAAAATTGCAGAGGAGATAATTATGTGAAGACTTGAATTATTTGCTCTTGCAGCAGTTAAAGAACACCTTAAGCCTAAAGTTTCTTATACTTCTTTCAGAGCTGTCATGAACAAAATGAGGGTGGTGCATTCCAAATTCACTATCCTGGGTCTCCTTTGAAACTGTTTTTTCCTGGGATAGACTTTCTGTGTCAGTACACAAGAGTGTCTATTTCTGATTAAGGAAGGTTTGAAATGGCTTTGACTGGTTGACAGCTGTTTGTTGACTTCTCCCAGTGATTTGAGAGCTCTGAGTGTTGATTTGGTGTTTGGCTGTGCCTACATTTTCATTCAGTTAGTGATTGAGTTCTTGCATAGTTGTGAATTCCAGGGTGATTTTTTGCTTCTACTGTTGTGCTTATCATTAGGGGAAGTCCTGAAAACTTTAAAACATTAAATTTTTCAATGGTTGAGACAAGATTGGGACTGTTTGAATTGGTCACATTCTTTCTGAGAGTTAAAGGCTTTAATTTACTTTTTCCATTTTTATTTGTTTCTGAGAAGCAGGTAACTTCAAGGGGAAGATCAAATACTATCAATTTCTACTGTTCTATTTTTTATGTGGAAGTGGCACTAGAGAAGTATAGGAGGAATAGACAGTGGAAGTTGGTTTTAAGGTCTGCATGGTGAGAACACGCTGGGGAAAGTGGAAATGCCTTTACATTTGACTCCACAAAGTTGAGATCTCTGGGTCAGTCTTGATGCAGGTAGAAAACATCTTTCTGAAGGGATGTAAGCCTGCTTTGTACCTAGCCCAGAGCTGTGAGTGATGTCTTAATGTACCAGCCTTCATAAAGGTCTGTGTGCTGAAGTGTAGAAATAACATAAATGAAAGGTTTTTCCCCGTTTGTGGGATGTTTTATCCCCAAACACCTCCTGTTAAACCTGTGGTAATATGGAACTTGGTCACTTCCTTGCCAAAACTGCCAGAGACCACAGGTACAACCCATCCATTCTGAGATGTGTTGCTGGAGCACAAGCAGCTGGGAGCATTTCTGCCAAATGCATCACACACCAATTCCCTCTTCTGTCCCACCTCCCTGGCCTCCGTTGTGTGTTCAGCACTTGTATGCTCAGAGGTTTGAAAAAACAATAAACAGTGTGAAAATTCTCCTCTGAACCCAGAAGGTGTAATTTGTCTTTCCTATCAAACAAATAAAAACTCAATATTTGAATATATCTTAGGTATCCCCATTCTGTCCACCAACCCCACTCTTGTGCTGTGGATATTGAAATATCCACAATGTTCCTGGGTTACTTCTGTTGTTTCCTCTTTGTAAATGTTCACTCTTTAGAAAATGACCACAAGCAATTGCTCTGATATGTCACCTGTTATAAAACTCTTTCAAGCTCAGTGGGTAGGATGGCAAACGTGGGAGAGGATATATAAAAGACAGATGTTTGCACCAACTTGAATGTGCAGTGCTTAGATTTTAATCCCTTGCTCCCTGTGGGATAGATATGTTGGTAGTATCTTCCTTTTATAGATGGGGAAAATATGATGAGGTAAATAAGAGGATATACTTAAGATCTGTGTATATAAATAATTCAAAAAGATGTTTTTAGGCCAAACTATTAGAAAAAGTTACAGATGTTCTGGGTTTTTCTTGGGAGTGAGGACATTCATAACTACATCAGACAGTATTAAGAATTTATAGCATAAATATGCTTCAGGCACAGATCAATTAATAACTGGCAAAGGACTTAGCAAAGCACTCTCTCAGGGAAGGGATTATTCTGAAATTGTGCACAACTACATTTCAGGCACCTTTCTTTTCTACCTTCTGGGATCAGTCACTGCCAGGAAATAGGAAACCCATCATATCTGTATTGATTGCCCTCAGCCACAGGTACTCAGTGCAGATCCTTTTCTTACCCAGGACATTGCGGTGCCTTCTGGAAACCCTCCATTTTCCTGGTGTGCTGTTTGCCACAGGGGTGTGTGCCCTTTGTTGTGTGCTCTGCTGCTCCCCAGGCAGCAGGAGGAGAGGAGGCTGTTGTGAGCTCCAGGTGACTTTGGGCACTTCTTAGCTCAGGGCTTGCCCCATGGTCATCAGTCACAAAGGAAACCTGTGGGGTGAGGTTAACATCCATCACCTGTTTACCAAAATACCCTAAATTAGCCACATCCCCAAGGCAAGTGGCTTCATGTTGTGCACAGGAGAGTATTGTACTTACTGGTAATGTTTTGTGCTTGGATGAAGCTCTTGCATTCATACATTTCCAAAATTGTCATAACATAATGATGCCAGACATTCCCCTTGGGAGGTGTTGTCAAGAAAACTGCAACTTTTTCCTCTCACAAACTAGAAACTTCAAAAGCACTACAGTCCTCTACCAGTGTAAGTTTCCTGAATTTCCAGTCTCCAGGAAATTGGATTCTGGTCCTGGTCATCAAGCAGTGTTTTAAGCTGCTTGGCAGTGTCTGGTGTTGCATTCTCATGTATTTCCTGGGGGGACTGAGCTCTGGAGCTGTTCATCTGCTGATGCAGGTGCCTGTGGCAGTCTGTGCCTGGAGCATGAAATCCTCTTTTTCAGCTGAGGCTGTGTGTGGAACAGGCTCCAGTTCCTGAGCTGAGGGGCATCTGAGCATGCATTTTGTTAAAAGGATCATTTTTTGTGTGATATCTCTGGAAGTGGAAGGTAGAGGAGAATTTCTGGTGCTGTTTGGAGAACCATGGTGACAGCACTTCTTGGGGCCTCTCTTTGGGTGCTTTTGTTTCTTACATCAAGATGCTCAATTATGGTGTCTTGAAAACACTGTTTGAACCTGCAGTTCATATTCAGGAGAACCTCTTCAGTTCCACCACTGGCAGCAAGGTGTGTGTTATTGATTCCTGCACATCTGAGGGATTGATAAGGATTATCTCCAGCAGGTCTTTGTTTGGGCTCTCTGGGTGCCAGTTTTCAGGCTGCAGTTCTTGTCCTAGGTGGAGTTTACCAGAGGCAATCAGGGAAACTGGCCCATGCCAGCAGAAAGGAGTCAGCCAGGAGTGCAGCTCTCTGTAGGTGTGGCCATTGCGTTAGGATAACTCTGAGGTTCTGTTTTCTCATTCCTTGCTCTCTTGTCTGACAACTTCACTTTGGTTTCTAAGGTAGGGTGACTATTATTTGCAGGAAAAGGCAAGAGGGGAATTCTTCAGTAGTCCAGAGAGCTTTGGTGAGGAACTGTCAGTGTGTCCTATGGAAAATGGTTGCTTAAAACTGTCCTAATAAAACCTTTATGCTTACAGGAAACATTTACTTTGTTGTTTCTGCGTGTCTGTGTTGTCTCTGTAAAAACAATTTTTATGTTTGTCCAGCTCCTCAGTGACACGCTCTTCAATTTTATGATGTTTTCTGATGCTTCCTGCTTCTATGAAGATACTGACTTGAGCTTTACAATTATTTTCCTAGACTGTGCCTTGAGGCTGCTGCATAGCAAATGTTAAGCCAACCTGTTTGTCTGGAATATTCCCATAGTGCTGGTGTGTCTGGAGAACAGTGTCACAGCTTTATGCAGACAGCTGGGATCAGCTTTGAGCAGAGCTTGAACTAGAACCTCCAGAGATTCACCTTAAATTTATTTAGCAATTGTAATAAAGAGAAAACTTGAATCTCAGAGTGTCTCTCTTATTGCTTAAGTAGTGGAGGTATGAGTATAAAAGGAGTTATTGAACTTCCTAATGTCAAAAGAAAAAAATATCCTGTGTCACTGAGCCTTCAGAAATTTAGGCGTATCAACACAAAAGTCTTGAAACTTTGAATTGGTGCAGCTGTTGGGGAACTGTGGTGGAGAGGTTGTATTGCTGTATCTCTTATTGTCCAACTGGTGAGTGTTATCATGGGGAATTGACATAGATTTACTACTTGACTCAGCTAAGATGGGTCTCATTTTCTTTTTATTTTAACCATTTTCTTTTTTCTATTCAAAGAAACGATTGAAAGCAGCAGAAGCAGAAAGCAAGCTAAAACAAGTGTATATACCCAACTAGTAAGTACCCCTTGTTTTGTTTTTTATCTCATTGTAGAGGGATTGGTGTAGCATTTTCCATGTCCTACCAATATTATTATTTCCTGGTTAGGATATTGTGCTAAGTGTTGCTCATTTCCTGCATCTCTGTAATGTTCCCATCCTGAAGTGACTATTACTTATCTTCTAATTTTTATTTTTGTATGGACTGGGAGTTGGGGACTTGCTGGCAGGTCAGCATGGTTGTGAACAAAAGGGTAGCTAATTAACTGCTTAATAATTATCTGTTTTTCTTAATTTTTCTCAGCAGTGGATCACCAATGCATGTTTGCTATATATCATTATATATTAAAAAGAATGTATAATTATTTATAGGTGTACATATGTTTTAAAACAAAATTTTTAGTAAAATATGTCTTCTCTTGGATTTCATCTGCATAGCCTAGTCAGTACTAGTTAGAATGCAGAACTTCCAGTCTACCCTTTCCTTTCACTTTTCAACTTTCACTCCCAGATATGCTCCCCTGTGTATTATCCCCAATAACTTCTTTGCTCTTTTATGCTGTCTCCTTTTAAATATTTATGAACGTCTACCATCTGTTCTGTTACTTTAGATAAAACTAAATTTTATATATTTAGCTTGCAAGACAGCCCCTTATTTCTTCTGAAAATAGAGGATCCATGATCATATGTCAATACCTCTCAGGTGAATTTACTAAAAGTGAGGTGTAATATTCAGAGTGAAGCCAAATAGATTTCTTGTCACACAATTTTTCAACAGTATTGCTTTTTGTGGATGGTGTTACTCTGCAGGGGGACACTGGACATCAAATTAAGCATGAATTCACAATGTGATAAGCTCATAAAGCAAAAGGCAGTATAATTTAGACTGCAGATGCAGAAGGATATTGCAGACGAGAGAGCCTGGCAGTCCTGCTGTTCTCTTGGATTAGAATGTGTGGAGGGAGGGCTTTGTGTTTGGAAGGTTGTGGTGCTCATTTGATAATGGCTGCCTGGAGTGGCATCTTATCCCTCAGCCAGGTAATTCTTTTTCCTGCCTAGAGAACACATAATCAAATCAGCAGCTTAGCTCCCTGCTCCAGGAAGGGACCTGGCTCTGCCCACGTGGCTGCTCTTCTGTCTCTGGCTGTGATTTCCAGTCACAGTTCATTTTATCAGTGTTGTACCTGAACTTACATATTATTTAGTTCATAAAATAGGGGATACATTTTCCTCCTCCTTCAATATCCTTTCATGTATATCAGGGAAAGTAGCAATTACATGACTTACTTAATCTCACATGAATGCTTCTTCTGTTTTCTTGCTATTAATACCTCTAAAGGTGGCAACAATTAAATATTTCTAAGCTTTTTGGATTACTTCTACACAAGCTTGAGTACAAGGGCTGGCATATAGAGACTGTATGACATCTACATTATCTTGTGACCTAGAAGGAGATTATATTCTTGGCTTGTAATAGCAATGCACGGTGTAGGGATCTAAATATCAATGTTATTGATTTGTCCTTATCATGTTACTGAGCCCATTCCTGTTTCTAGGCTTGAGCCATAATGATCCAGTTGTCACCTCGAAAATAAATTACGTGATGTAGGCTGTCACAAGACCTATGCAGAAGTGTATCACCTGATTGAAACCCATTTTAACAGTAACTGGTGTAAAATTGTTGGCAGTGAGAGACCCTGGAGGATATCAGGCTCAAACAATTTTACCTTTTTTTTTCCTCTGGCTGTCTTCCATTGATAGGGCTCTGGTTTGTTTCTCTGATGGTAAATAGGAAAATCTAGCAGAGAGGAGGAAGATAATAAGAGAAAGAATAGAAGCTGTCTTCAAAGGTCACATACATGTTACACAGTGACAAATAGCAGCTCTGTGTAAAGCTTTAGAGTTGATATTTTTTAACTTGAAACTGTGCCCCAAATTTTTTGATGCAGGTAACTGAAGCATGGAGGGTCATACAGGTAATTGATGTGAGGTTATCAAGCCCTACACCAGTCTTAGAAAAACACTTCTGACTTAGAATGAATAAGCATTTCTGTACCTTTTCCAAGAATAGCCCTGGTTTTGGGGCAGACATTTGTAGTTGACTCGACAGAACCTGATGTCTATAAATATGGCTTTGCAATGAAACTCTTTGGCTGAAAAGCACTGATGTGCTTTCCTGGTGAAAGGAAAAAGTGTAAAATCAATGAAACTCAGAAAATACTGAAAAACAAATGTTTCAGTTGTTTTCTGTAGCACTGTCTGTGTCAGTGTGAAGCAGCAACAGAAGTCTGAACACACAAAGAGATTCCACATTCTCACATCCTCGTCCTGCCATCCTCCAAAGTGAGTGCAGTGCTTGGAACACCTTCATGCAGGTGTAGTCTCTTCTTCTAGTGTGTACCCAAACACACTCTTCAGGTTGTTGTGGAGCTGTACTCTGGTTTTACTAATCTTACAGGCATCATAGGTACCATCTTCTTTTTGATGAAGATCTGATTGTGTAGCTTGTGCTTTTTGGGATTAGGACATCTGCAGTTGTGAAGACTGACATCCAGTTTGGTGTGGCTTTTCCCTCATTTGCTTTGATCTAAGTGATACCAGAAGGGGTAAGAACAGAAAGGGAAGAGTGAACTGCTGCACATGATTTTCAGTCTCCAAAATGTAACTTTTAGCTCTACATCTGTATGTGTTAATGAATACATTCTATTTACAGTATTTTATCTGAGAATCTCAAAGCACATTGGCAAGCTGCAAATGCAGCCTCTCAAAGGCTGTGAAGCAGGGAAATACTGTTCTCCCTACTGTGCCCCTTTTGTGAATCCAATAGGGAAACTGGAGGAATAAGTCAAAGCTTTGGTTCACTACAAGGGGCAACTGCCTAACAAGCTGAAGATAATTCCTTTGTCTGTTTCTTGGTTGTCCTCTGCTTGAGGAGCAAGATTGTTTTTCTTCCCTGTTTCATTGTGCAGAGGTCCATGGCAACATGAAAAACTTAAAAGGTGTAATGTTGCTCTTCCCTCTGTACTGTGCTAGTTAAAATGACAATCCCCAACATTTTGTTGGAGAAAGCTGCTCCTATTCAGAAAGTATTGTTTAATGGCCATTAGACCTGCTCTTAGAAATGGGTGTTTACAGGAAGTTGGAGAGCCATGAGAAAAGCTCACCTCTGTTGCCTGGATCCAGACACTTCCATTAGATGCTTAGAGGTGAATGGCACAAATGTGCCTTAAAAAGGGATTTAAAGTTGTTTTTATTTCTGAGGCTTTATTACTAACCTGTTTTGTTGCATCCAGCACAAATGGGTTCTTCAATAACAGGAAATAGTCACAGGATGGTATTAAGTTATAATTCTTTCTAACAACAAAAATTTTATCACTGTGCTGTGGGCCAAATGCTGTCTGTTTATCTACTGAAGGGCTGTCAGCCTTCTGTGGGGATCAGGATTGTCTGCAGCTGGGTTTTTTTGTGCAGGGGTCTCAGTCTCTGTTGGCAGGCTTCTCTCTTTATTGCCTCCATCTCTTCCCTTGGGACTGAGCTGAAGAATACAGCCCAGAAATCTGCACTTCATGGTCCCTGTTCCAGCAGAACTGACTGCTTCTTCAGAACTGAAACCCCTTTAAGAGACTTCCATTCCTGAAACAAGAGCTGGAAATGACAGTTTGCCATACCATCAGTATTCTCACCACCTTATTTGCATCTTTAGCTTCAGCTTCATTAATTGCTTAATGATTCATCCAGTTACTCATCTGATTCTCTTGCTAATAGCTGTGGCAGCTTTGGTGATATCAAACAAGTTTAATTAACATATCATCAACAATTAAGAGCTTTTTGCTTCTCATATGATGAAAACATTATCTGCCTGAATTTTATTGTTACAGCCACTCAGAAACTTGACCGTAGCTTTGGAGCAGGACACTCTCTGGTGCTTGCTGCAGCTTCACTACTTGTAGTGCTGCAGAATCCTGGAGTTTATCTCAACTACAGCATGTTAGTCCTTCTGATCAGTGTGGTTTGGTGATCAGCTTGCACCAGTGCATGCTTTCCACTCGTGTTTTAATAAGGCTTGATAATGGTTTTGGAGAGGGTAATGGAGTCAGGCCATGATCCTCCTTTCTAGTCCCAATTCTTTGGATGTGCTTTGTTAGGCTTTGCTGATGGATTTCAGACTATTTTGCTATATTTTTGGGGAATAAATCCAAGGTGTAGAAGGGAAGCAACAGGCCTGATGTTGAAGCATAAGGCCTTGGTTTTCTTTACTTCAGTCTCTTGCTCTGTGGAGCAGCACTGCCTGTGACAGTGTGTCTGGGAGGGCTGTTTGTTTTACAGCATTGGGGCAATGTTTGCATATGGAGTTTGCTGGTGAATCATTGGCAGAAGTTCTTTTGCAGCAGGTTACTATAGTGACACCCCAGAGCAGAGGAGCGTGAATGTTCCCTCTTTCAACTGCCCCTTTGTTAAACTGCCCTCGGATCTCCTGCCATCTGCAGGGTCAGAACTCGGTGCCTTTCTGATAAGCACCCTGAGACACTTGAATCTTTGCAGGAGCTAGGCAAATTAATAAGCAAAAGGAGATGAAAAAGTATTCAGGCTTGTGAATTCATCTAAGTGTCTTTTTTTTAATCTCCTTTGCTGCTTTTGAGCTGCATATGTGCTGCTCAGTGCACTAGAAGAACAAACTACTTAGAGTGTTCCTGTGCTATTTGGCCTCCTGAGCTTTCTCTGCTGCAAAAAGGCTCTGAATTTTACAGTGAGAACACTATCAGAAATTTTTCCTGGACTGGGCAAACACACTCTTCCCTCCTTATGCAACCTGTGTGTAGTTCCTGTAGTTCATTCACAGCAGAACTTATTTTGTCTCTGTCAAAATGGAGCTTTACTGAGCTCTGTATCTCAGGATCTGATTGGACATTTTCAGAGAAGAAGGATATTTTCTGGCTTGTGGGGCAGCATCAGCTTTCCAATTGTCTTCAGAATTATGTCAGTTGGAACTCCATTGCTTTTCATTGCTGAGAACATGAAACCTGATGCTGGTGCCCCGTTAGAAAGAAATTGATTTGGCTCTATTCCCACAATGCTGTTTTTGTAGCTCTAGCCTGCGTGAAACACAGCAAGTATTCTGGGTTACTGCAGTCACTGTGACTCCTGTGTCAGTGTGCAACTGATGTGTAAGAAAAGGAGCTTGCAGAGAGCCATTTTAAGATATTTCTCCTTCCAAATCATGGGTTTGTTAGTTGGAAATAAAAGGAATATGCTCACTCCCTTCAGTCTTCAGGTAAGGGAATATGATAGGAATGTAACCAGCATTGGAACTGGGGCTCATGTGCAGCAGTTGGCTCCAGAGCCTGTCTGCTCTTTGCTGCTTCTATAATGTGAACTCTAAGAGAACTCCAGAGTCCTTGCATGTTTGATAAACTCCTCATGTGAAACTTCATGTACGACTTCTTCCACCTTCCTCCATTCTCCAGAAGTCCTGTCCCAGCAATACTCTGTCCTCCTCCTTCCCTCCCATGCCCAATTTTTTGAAGGCCTCATTGTCCCCTTCAGACACTTCTTCCTCTGCAGAATTTCTGTGCTATTCCATACTGCTCTCCATGCCAAGGTTTTGTTGGCCTTCCATTCTCAGCTCCCACCTTTTGTTTTAGCTTGTAGCTCTTGGCCTTTCCAGAATAATCATTTTAAAAGAGGGTATAGGGATGAGCTGGGTGACCCAGATGTTGTTGTATGTTGGGTGTTTTTGTGGGAATTGTGGCCACATGATGCAAACCCTTGCAGTGAGACAACATGGAAATATTTGTGACTGCAGTCTAGGGTTGTATTTCCCTGATTAAAGCAGACACTGCCCTCTCTCTGCCTGCTGCTCCTGCCCCAGCCTTCTTTTTGGAGATTTAAGTAAAATATCTTTCATGTTGAGGACTTGTGAGATCTGTTTTTACCTGGATTCACATGTCTGGGATAGTGAGTAAGGTATAAGTCTACCTGGACTGGTTTATTGTTTGTTAAAAGGTTTTGAAGTCTTGTAAATGGCATCCAACTACCATTATAGTTATTTTCATTTTCAGTTTTTTTAAAAATATTATTGGAGACAGTGTATTCATAAAAGTCAGATTGCTGGTAATTACAGCTGGTTCTGGAAGCCACATACTGAATGAAATTTCAGTCTTCAACCATTTTGGGCCATACCTTCAAAAGTCAAATAAAAAATTGCATGCTTCAATTAACACTTGTCATTCTTTTTGCTTTGTGTCCTAAGTAACAAGCCAAACCCCAACCAGATCAATGTAAATAATGTCAAACCAGGAGTGGTGAATGGTACTGGAGTCCAGGCACAGAACGCGGGAGCAGGACGGGCCTGTGAGAGCTGTTACAGTAAGTGCCACAATGGCAGCTGAGATGGAAATGTTAAATCAAAGCTGTCTTGTGCTGGGGTGGGGGCAGAACTGGATATTACAGCATTTAAAAGTTTGGGGGTTTTTGAGATTGTTTTTGTTTAGTGTTTGTTTTGTTCTTTAACTACTAGCGTTACATTTGTAAATAGAATTATGAAGTACTAAAGGGGCAGTTAGTAAATGTTCTACATAATTGCATGTAACTCTTGAGTGAATGTTTAGATCACTAGTCTGTGAATTTGACAATTTTTGTCATCATTTTTAGTAGTTTTCAAAATATGTGACACCACTGTGTTTGATCTGCTGCCTGATATTATACTGAGTTCTAATGATTGTGCTTCTTTATGGGGAGCCTGTAGAGATGCTGGAATGATGTTGTATGAGAGGTCAAGTCACAGACTCTGTACATTTTTCAATTGTAAAATAATTAATATATGGGAAGTTCCTGACAGCAGTCTTTGCTGTTTCCCATGTTGTGCAGAAGTTCTCTTGCAAAAAGAGAACCTTCTCATCCATTGGCAGGAAATCTTCCCATCTTAACAATTGTTTCTTTCTGTTAGCTTTTAAAAAGGAATGTAGATTAATTAATGTAATCAATTCTGCTGAAATCACAAGTATATTTAACAGTGGTGATGGCATCATCAGTTTTGAAGGTCTTTTTGAACTTTGTTCTGTGTGGGGGGGGGATGTTTGCTTTTGTGCTGCTTCTAAAGAGAATAAGATCTGAAAAGTGATCCTGTGTAAGGATATATATAATTTCCACCTTTGTTATCTCTAGCCACCCAGTCTTACCAGTGGTATTCTTGGGGTCCCCCTAACATGCAGTGTCGCCTCTGTGCATCCTGTTGGACCTACTGGAAGAAATACGGTGGCTTGAAAATGCCAACACGCTTAGATGGGGAGAGGCCCGGACCAAACCGCAATAATTTGGTGGGTATCCACTGCTGCCTCTGCCTGGCAGGCTGAGTGCCATGCCACCTAACTGCCTGCTCACTGGTCTTAAATATTTGACCACCAAAAGAATGCCTGCAGCCCTCGTTGTTGTCCTTGGGTTTGGTATTTGGTGTCAAGCAGGAGTTGGCGCGTTAACCTCACTAGAAGTAATTTGTTGCCAAGTACTGCCCTGAGGGAAGGAAACCCATCGTTTGTTTAGCAAACCAGCCTTCAAATGCTTAAAATGACTTAGTGGAGATGGGAGAAACTGAAATGCCAGCCAGTGTTTCTGGTATTTGGTTTCCATGATTTTTGCTGTAGGGCGAACAGCGCTGTTTTTTTCTCTCCAAAAGAATTAATTATTTCCTGAAACCTATTTACTCTCCCAAGGCATATTCAAAATTAGATATACCCCGAATAGCTAGTGACTTTTTAGAGCTCATTTATCTTGTTTTTCTACCTAATCCTAATTTTTTTTAATAGTCCTCCTTTTTTTGGATAGATTTAAGTAAGGATTGTATGAGCTGTTTGTTTCATTTTTTCTCTCTTATTCGAAAACCAAAATTCTCAGATTTTTTTATGAATTTGGTAAGAGTCTAATCTGGAAGCATTAAACATTAAGCTGATTGGAGAAGGTAACTGTATCACATGGACAGAAGTATAGCACACACTGAACTTTTATTTCAGGATAATTTCTTTCCTCTCTCCTATTCTTTGCTGTCATTCCCTTTACATTTCTTTTGTTTAACATTTATCCTATCCAGGCTTCTCTTTGCCTAATTGCTGAGATAACTGCCTTATACCTGTTGTTTGTTAATTAAAAGTATGTAAATAGTCATAGAAGGAAAAGCCTTCTCCCCAAACTGAAATTTCTTCCTCTTTTCCAGCTATGGGTTGGTCTGAGATAAGATACTGCTTGCATTATTTCATTGGTTGACTTAGTTGCTTTTCATAGAGAAGATAAGTACTTTGGTTCTCAGTAGCTGATAAATGTCTTCCAGTAGTATTTTTTATTATATGCAATGAATATGGAATCTATCTGTGAGTACATTTGTTAAGAGTAAGAATTAAAAGAAATTCTTGCAGCTTTGAGCCAAAACCATTCCTGCATGCCATACATTTGCTTTGGAAAATGAGGTTTTTGGTGTATATTTTTGTTATGCAGCTCTTTCTGATTTTGCCCTCCTTCTGACAAATGTTTTGTTATAAGAGTTTGCATTGTACCTCCAGAGCAACCCTGAGCACCCAAAACTGGAGAGTCTTTCTGTTGAGCCTGTAAGCTCTAAGTGATGCGATAGCAGCAGGTAACTTCTTAATGTCTGGCTTTTGGATCCCTGCCTTAAAGCTTGTGACAGCATAGAAATAAATGCTTCCCTGCAAAGTGAAAAGATTTACCTTCTATTTTATCCTTTGAGATATTAGGGGTTAGACTTGGGAAATGGGGAATACTGTGTTAAAAATATTTTAATCTGTAATACCATTTCTGTTCTTGTGTGTGAGATTCAGTAGTTGAAAGTGATTTTATATAATATTTACTCTTCTTAACAGCTGTACTTTCCAGTAATGACTTTTTCCAGAAACCATTTTTGTTTTCCTTCCCCTTCAGAGTCCTCATGGTGTGCCAGTACGGAACAGTGGCAGTCCCAAGTTTGCCATGAAGACACGACAAGCTTTCTATCTGCACACAACAAAACTGACCAGAATTGCCAGACGTTTGTGTCGAGATATCTTGCGCCCTTGGCACGCTGCAAGACACCCCTATCTGCCTATCAACAGTGCAGCCATCAAAGCAGAATGTGAGTGAGCTGCAAGGAGTCAAGAACTTGCCAAGGAGTCCTTGGAGACTCCTGTCCTGGAAAGTTTTGAGTTGCACCTTGCTGAGATGCTCTCTTGCACGAAGCTAGTGCTGTCATAAAACCTAGGTGTGCTTGCAGAGCCTTCTAACTGATGGTAGGCTGGGCAAAATAACTTGGAAAGTTCATGAGTTGTTTGTTTTAAAACATTTGTGTTTGCTATTACATGGGGCATTCTCTGTTTGTGTCCTGTTGCCAGGATCTGCTTGCCACCTGTAAAATTCCTTTAATGGCAAAGCTCCTTCAGGACACTGGAGTTACTCACTTGGTTTTGCTATAATAGCTAAATGTCTTCACCCTCTAATTATTTTTCTGTGTTTTACAGGCACAGCACGTTTACCTGAGGCATCAGAAAACCCATTGCTATTAAAGCAAGTGGTTCGAAAGCCTTTAGAAGCAGTACTCCGGTATTTAGGTATTAAACCAACCAAACCATCACGTGCAAAACCCCCCAAACACAGCAAACACCCTCCTAGATACCCTGCTGACCCTTTGTGTTATCCACTTGGATCCAGATTTAGCTGCTCATTCTGGATTAAAAACAAACAAACAAGAAACAGGGCACAAAAAACCCCACCCCCACAAACAGAAGAAAACATGAAACCCATCTTGTTAACTTGTCCTTTTTACTTTTCCTGCTTTACCTGGCAGAGCCAGTGTCTCTGCAGTCCACTGTGGGGTCTTACAGCTGTATCAGAAACTTGTTCAAGTGAAGGGAGGGATGTGTTTGCTGTGGCTTTTGCTGTATATGGAGACAAGTTGCCATCTGCTAGTGGAGGCACTAACATCATGTTTTGGGAACATTTGATAATTCACTTCTGGTTTTGGGCTGTCTGGAGGTCGTTTGTGCAGTTGGGTCCTCCAAGAAGCCTCTTGGGTTTAGGACAGCACTGTGTCCCACAGCTTGTGATCAGCTGATGGCTGTTCTGTGCTCAATCTAGACAGAGGGATCATACTTCTATTTTTCACTTTCCTCTTGGGTTTTGATGGGGTTTTTATTATTTTTTTAATCACAATTTTCTTGAGGACTTTTGCCTCGTGAGCTGATCTTTGGGGCAGGATTGTGTAGCCCCATCCAGAACTTTGGTGTAAGTTTGAGCTGCTGGAAGCATCCAGAGTGATACTGTGTAACATGCAGTGCTGACTGCAGACAAATGCCAAATGCTTTTCCCCAGTGCTCCCTGTTGCCCTGCAGACATCCCTCAGGTTGTTCTGGCAGCCAAACAACAGTGTCTCCTCTTTGAAGGCTTCCAGCTTAGCAAGGAAGTTGGTTGCCTTTTCATTTAGATAAGCAGCATTGGAGTTGATTTCAGGTTTCTTTGAACGTTTTTGTTGATGAAATATTGTAAGGCTGAGGGTGTATTAAATATTTACTGCTCTCTGTTGGGTGTTGTACTTCTGCTGTGTACTAATGGGGTACATGGATTGAGAAACCTTTGGAAACATGCAGTGCAACAAAAGAGAGCAAATGAAGGGAGAAGTATGCTGTTGGATAAAATCCTTATTTTAATAATTGTACAGAAAGTAGCAGCAGATTTTGAGCCTTCCTTGCACTGTGTCAGGATCTCCACTGGATTACTGAGCTGGGAGAAAAGAGTGATGGCAATGGAGGGAGGACTGGCAAGGAGGATTTTTGGTGGTGTTAGTGGGATTGAGTTTATATCTTATTCTGCTGTTGGGCCTGTGAGGGAAGACTCAGTTGAAGTTCCCATTTGATGTTTCTTGTAACTTTCTTAAAGTCTTTTCTCAACTCAAAGTTGAGGAGTGTGGGCTTGATGTCTGCCTTGGCCCAAAGCTTGAATTCAGATGTTGTGTTCTTTATAGTGAGTCTTTGAATCTTCACTTTTTTTTTGCTGTTGGAGAAATTGTACTTTTTATAAACTTTTCTGGCAGACTGTCAGAGTTGTAATTTCCCCAGAGTTTAGAGGTGTGTTGCATGACCAACATGGCCAGAGTTGGGTTGTGGTATCCAGCACCCCAAAAATCACCCCAAATTATTGGAGAACAGTGTTACAGAAATAGATACAAAGTGCTTTTGCTATCAGATCTTATTTTAAGGTAATAGTATGATAATGACTTTCATGTCTTTAGTAGTGGTGAATTCCTAAATGTATGGAAATGCTTTATATCAGTAGAAATCTCCAAACTATTAAGAAGAGGTGTACTTGGTAACCTGAGAAGTTTGCAGGTTGTTTTTAGATTTATAATTCCAGTATCTTTGCTAATAAAAAAATTCTATGTTGCTGTTTTCCACCAGAGTCTCATCCATGTCCTCCAAAACCAGATCCTGCAAAGAGCTTGTCCAGTTCTCTCAACAATCTGACTCCTGCTAAGTTTACACCTGTCATTAATAATGGGTCCCCAACTATCCTGGGAAAAAGAAGCTATGAACAGCACAATGGAATGGATGGTAAATATTTTTCCACAAAATTTATGTTGTGTCTGTAGGCTTTTTCTTCTGTCCTTTCGGTATACAAAGAGATTATCGAAACTCATAGTTGTTTATATAAATTCCGAATTTCTAAATCTTGAGGGAGGTTATTTTTAACTTTTGTAAAAGCCACCTGTCCCATTTCTCCTTTTGGGTGAGGCACATGGTGTGTACTGCCTAGGAGGTGCATGCACACAAAGTCACTGTGCTAGTGGAACTCTGCCTGCCTTGGCCAACCTTGCAAATGTGATAGCGAAGGAGAATCTTCCCTTCAGTTTTTAAATTAGTAGTATGAAGAACACCCTGATAGCCTTTTGGAGTGAGGTTTCCCTTGTTGGCCCTGTTACTGGCCACCTCTCTGCTTGGCCTTCAGCTCCTCAGGAAGAGGAGGTAAGGGAAAGGTGTTTGAAGTGGGAGATAGAAGCAGGATGTTCCCGGCGTGGACTCCAGGTCTCTGTTCTGAAGAACTGCTCTTGCTTGAGAGTGTCAGGGAAGAGAGAGTGCAGCCTCTGTCAGATGAGAGCAAAGGGTCTCTTGAAATGGTCATAACAGGAGTGAGAGCACAGATGGTAGCTCTCCTTAACAGGGGAAAGGAACAGTTGGTGTAGTGGTGACTCCAGCAGGGAGGGAGCGAGTCTTTCTCAATTTTACCTTTAATTTTAACTTTATAAGTAGCTTTTATAATTACAAACATTTGATGATATCTGATTGTGTTTTAACATGAAGAACTTTTAAAACTGCTGCTGTTCAGGTTGCTGATGTGATGTTTTTCTCTTTTCTGTTCACTTGTGCTCTATCAGGCAACATGAAGAAGCGCCTGTTGATGCCTAGCAGGGGTAAGACCTTGAAGCTGCGCTCAGCTTATGCTAGGAGAGTGATTTTTAGTTTCATCTGCTGGCTTGTCTGTGCTTTGTGGCTAATGAGTCTGTGTGCACCTTCTGTGTTGATGTCTAAGTGTTCCTTGGGTAACCACTTCCACCCATGGTTTTGCTGCTCACCTTTCAGGCTTTTCACATGCAGGCAACAAGTTGTGCAACTGTACTGAAGACATGAAGTCCTGTGTTGAGAATTGGTTCCTAATTCCTCAAGTTGACAGAACAGTCTTCCAGCAGTTCTATGAAACTGCAGGAAGCTGTGATGGTTGGTTTGAAAATAGGGCTTGTTTCACTTTTTGGCTTCTAAGAAAGCAAAACATGTCTTGAACTGCTTTGAATTCACTTGGACCAAATGAAGTAGAAGACAGTATTTACATCAAGTCCCAAGTTCAACCCTCTGTATTTTCCAGTGAGAGTGGACAGTCTCACTGGTTAGAGACTGTTCTCTGCAGGCAGTAGAAAATGATTTTCAAAATTTCCATCGATTAAAAATTAATCTGTTCTGAGTACTGAAGAGATGTCAGAATCTTTCATTTGTGATCATGCAGGAAACATATATGATGTCACTTTTCCAAATATAGCAGAACAGACCAATTTTGAATATTTAGGAGACAGACAACCACAAAATGTCACTGTGACCAGGCAGACACAAAAGCTTACATGTTGCCATGAACTGGCCAGCACTGCATGCCCTGATGATAATCCTTGTGTTTTGTGGCTGAGACAGTGGATGGCTGTTACCCATATTTACATGCATGCAAATATGAGTGTATGTGGAGAATGCAGCAATGACAGGGGTTCTTCTGCTGTCTTGCTCTCCTTGGGAATTTATTCCTTGATACCATGTTGCTGAGTTTTTATGTGCTTTGTAACTTGTCTTTTGGGAAGAGTGACAAAACCCTGCTGCGTTGGTCAGTTTGGCTTCCTCAGAGGCTTTGTCCAGTAATGAGGGATGTAGGTGCAGAGTAACTCACAGAATTTCCACAGCTCCTGGTGAATACCTGCTTATGGGCAGGCCTGCTGCTCCCTGCTGAATGTCCTCCTCAGCAGATGACACACCTGGGAAGCTCAGAGATGTTGTGGCCCAGAGGAAGGAGGTAGAACAGATCCTTCCTTCTGGAAGGCTCTCTCTGCAGAGAGCACTGGACCTGATAACCCAACATGATTTTCTGGAAATGGGGGATCCCTGTTTTAGTGCTCCATTCACTTAGAACTGTTGCTGGAGCCATCTGCAAAGATGCTTTTGGAAAAGTACCTGTTCCTCAGAGTTTGTGTTTCTCCGAAGCAGGTGTGTGTAGCTGTGCAGGCCTGGATCTTCCTGAGCACCTGCTGCTCTTCCTGTTGGGTCTGTTCTCAGCCAGCCACTGAAATACTTGCTGGAGTACTTGTTCCTGTAACTGCAAGGTAGCAGAATCCAGTTCACTCCCAGAATCTGTTTAGTGGGTGTTAACTGGATATTCTTGTGAGCTGTTCAGCTTAAACCTGTTGGCTGAGATTTATTTGTGAATGGAAAATGTTTGCCACGCTGCAGTTTTGCATCTGTAATCTTTCCTGAGAGCCTGGGTTGCTGGAAGCTTTGCCAGGACTGAGAGGGAAGGGTTCCACCTGCAAGGAAACAACATTTAAAGAACTTGGATCAAGATCTGCTGGGCACAGGGAAGCAGATGGTGGAAGTTTGGTGATCTCTTTCTGTCCTGATGCCAGTTGGTGTGTTGGTTCCCAGCTGCCTTGTGTGTGAACTGGTAAACCTTGCTGGTTGTGGGTGTGGATACAACTGGTTTCTTGTGCCATGGAAGGACTGGGATTGTGGCACTGAGGCTTCTCCTTGGTTTTGGATGGAGTCATCCAGGTTTAGTAGTCTGGGGGGCTGCTGGCAGGAAGGGCACCAGTTGGACCTGCCCTGAAGAAGAAGTGAATGGCAATGAGAGTGATGAAGCCTTGTGGCCACAATTTAGGAGCCAGTGAGTGAGTATAAAAGGATTGAAATAAACCCATCTATTCAGAATAATTGATTCTTGGATTATAGTTGACCTATAATAGTAGAAAAATATTGAGAATAAGCCTGACTTGTTATAATTGGTCAGATTCTGCATTTACCTAGATATTATGGGATATGGAGGGGGTTATTTTCATGTTTCTCATCTCCTCTTGACATACTGACTAGTTTAGGTCACTGTAGGGGTGTGTACTGCAAAAAAAAAAAAAAAAAAGATGGTGTTAAGATGTCTGCACAGAGAGGCTGAAATTCTTTCTGTCCAACTTTAGGTGCAGGCAGACACTTTGTCCACCTGTGTTTAAATAGTTTCCAAAGAAATGTTAACCTAGTGCCAAATTGTATCTGTTATCCAGGGCTTTTTCTGCTTCCTGCTGATGTGCTGCATTGGTGGCACCTGGGAGACACCTCAGGGTTTGGACAGGTCACTGTGCCAAAGTCTGTGACAGGGGACAGTGGCATCTTTTATCGTGGGCTTGAGCTGGAGTCTCTGTGCTGGTGATAAAAGGCTCATGGTGCTGGGCCATCACCTCCAAACACAGGGGAGAAGCCTGAACACTTATGAAATTATGGCATGATGGTTTTGTAAGGCTTTCCTCAAGGCCAGGGTGTAGAGCAGAATATAATCAAGAGGTTTATTTGCATGAAAGAGCCAGGTGGCAGCTTGTGTCTGTATAGTGTAAAGCATTAAGGTACATTTTTATACACTACAATTGCTGAACTTCAAGGAGTTAGTTCACATTTTTCCTTTGGAATTCTATTTGTTTATTTTTTTTTCTCTTGCTACTGTAGTTCCAGCAAAGTAATTGTAACTTTTGTTTTTCTGACTCATCTCTGCTTAGCCCTTGAAACCCACACTTCTTCAAGCTCTGAATATGATTTATCTGGCCAGGCATTTTGAATTTTGACCAGTGCCTGAATTCCAAGAACAGGAAAATAGTCTTAATGTCATGTTCTCACTGCTTCCACTTTATTTTACAAGAAGATTGTAGTTCTTTCTTTCATCTATTTTGTTTTCCTCCTCTTTAAATCATGTTGGAGGCATCATTAGGCATACAGTACACTTCCCAGCTCTCCTTCAACATTAACTTAGCATGGCCAAATTGCTACAGAATCCTATTTTTGGAACATGAAAAGTACATGGAGTCTCATAAGCTGTCAAATAGAGTGAGATGTTAAAAAATCAGTAGTTTATTGCTTTTTCAGTAGTGTTCTGGAGCTCAACTGACAGTGTTTGCCATGAAACTTCCTCTGGGGAGAGAGAGAGAGGATGTTTTGTGTGCAGGAACCTGTTTACTTGATTGTGTGGGATCTGTGTGGTACTTGGCTATGCAAATTCCTGCTGGGGGAAGGGAGACAGCATTGTTGGATTTTTATTTTTCTCCCCTCTCTTTTACACCATGCTGGCTTTCATCTAATCAAAATTGTTTTTCAGGGTCATCACATGTGCTCCTAAAATTGGCAGAAAGAGGGAGAACATGAATGAGTAGCTGCAATAAAGGGAAGGCTTTTCCCAGCAACAAACTTGCATCGATAACATGGTGGTGGATCGAATGCTGAAAACTGGAGAGGGTTTATACAAGAGCCATGAAAACAGGGAAGGGACTGGAAAACACTCAGTATAATGGGAAATGCTTCTGTCAAAGTGGAAGTTGTAGATGCTTGTCTCTGCTGACAGGAACAGCAGAAGTCTAATAATAGGGGGCTTTCAGTGTAGCTGGGAGTGGAATAACAAGCTGCAGTAGCCAGAAGGTACAGTTGGGGACTTTGGCTGGAAAAAAGCTGCAGGTTTTTGAGTGAGGTTAATTAACTGTTGGAATACCTTGCTTCTGCTGCTGGGGATTTCTAAACCCAAATGGAATGTCAATCTAATTTAACATGTTCTGGTTCATTGTTTCTCACACCTTTTTTGGGAAAAGTGAATGGACCAAAAGTGGAAGCATTCACCAGCCTGGCATGGCCTTAGCTCAGTTATCAAGAGATGAGGGTGGAAGGGGAAGGAAGAACTGTTCTTGAACAAAAGCAGCTGTCAAGGTGGAAGGATAGGGAAGTTGTCTAACATCAGCTATGTAGGGGGCCAAAACTATCTCAATATTTTATACACACACATACATATATATATATATATATATATATATATGGTTTTTTCTGACTTAGACTTGCAGAAAATGTGGACTTACCTGTATGCATAAGTTGCATTAAAATCCTGCCTTTATCACCAGTGACCCCAGCTGTCCTTCTAAAAACTGAGGGATAACCAGCCAGTGGAAACATGCCCATCCAGGAATTACTGTAAATGGCAAATCCTTTAAAAAATGGTGGGGTGCTGGGGAAAAGGCCTGGCTTCACCTGTTGGAATCCAGACCCCAGTAATGCTGACCAGTGACAAGAGAGCAAATGTTCAGTGCCAGCTGCAGCACAGCTGGGAAGAATGCGTCAAGTTGCTTGAACTGCTTTTTGGAGACCCCAAGAGCCATGTGCCTGTGCAACCTTCTCCCTTTAAGATTTGCCTAAAGTAATGATTATTTTTGAGGATTTCTTATGGGATTTTTTATTCAGATGCTAAGTGAAACAATTTTCACTTGCCTTCAGTTTAGCCTTGATATTCTGATTAGGTTCTTTTGGTGTTGTGAAGAAAGATCTGAAAATAAAATCAGCAGATGGGCATCATGCTCTGTGGATCAGCTAGTGAAAACTATTTTGTTTAGTAGTGATGGCATGGAGTAAGATGCAAATGTTGATTGAGAGGAGAGTGCATATCCCCAGGCAATGGTAGAGAGCAGGTGTAATTAATGTGAGAGGAAATTAATGTATAACAGAGCAAGGACAGATTTGCAAGTGCCCTGGATAGCACAAAGCTTGAATTTGTAATTTAATGGAATTTGTGTTAAATATCATTCATATATAACTATATATCTAATACATGCACACACACATATATGTATATTGTATATGATGTAAAATACTCCTGATGCTAAGAACTGTGAGTAGTTCAGTGCTTTCTAGATTAGATAGCTTGGATCAGCAAATCCTAAAGCAGAGAGGGGCATAGTTTTGTCTCCTCTTTTTTTTAACCACTTGGTGTGTTACAGCCAGGCAGAATCCACCATGATGCTGTTTTTGGAATGTGAGTGGACAGTATTGATTGAGTCAAGCCTGAGACAGAGAGAGCAGCTCTCCCTTCTCACTGTGCTTATCCAAGGAGAGCTGCTGGCTCTCTGCAGTTGGATGCCACTGTTCAGGAAGCATTAGAGGGTTCTTGAGGTGCTTGTAGCAGGAGGTGCAGCCTTGCATGAGCAGACACATCATCTGGGAGGGGCTGTGCTTGCAGCAAGTGACTGTGACCTGCTGGACCAAGCATTTTAGGAAGTGCTGTCAAAATCCAGGGATGTTCATGTGCAGGGCTTGCTGGAAGGAGTTGGGTACAGACCAGTACTTAGCCATTCAAAATTAAAGCTGCTCTTTGCAAAATCTCTCATTTGGAGTTGCTGTGTGTTGAATGTTGTTTTGATTTTATCTGTCCAACAGAGAACTGTGATCACTTCTGTGTTTCATTACAGCCACACCAGTCTGTGTATCTCTATTGGTTGCATGGGGCTGAGCTACTGTATTCTGAGCTGCTTGAATCTTTCCCTTTTTTAACTTTAAATCTTTTCTTTCCTTTCCCTTTGCCAATCTTGGTAGGAACTTACTTAGGTAAGTAAATTGCAATTTTAACATTGTTTTTATTTACAACAGAATCTTAAGAAAATGTTAAGTCTAGGTGGTGTTTGGCACAACTTATGCTCTGTTCTGCTTGTGGCACTTACATTTCTGAAAGTTTGTAGCCTCTGGTTGTTGGTGGACACTCACAGTGGTAAAATACTTCTGGTAGTTATAAGAGAGGCAGGGGTGCTGAAGTGTTCTTGCAAGCTGGCAAAAATGTGTGTGTGTGTGTATGTCAACACACTGAGACTGCCTCGAGTGAACCAGTAACTTGGAAGTGAAATCCTTGTTCATGCATGAATTTTTATATTTTTCTCTAGCTTACTCACAAATGTGGTGCTGTTGATATTTTTGTTCATGCTGAGAAGGATGGAGTCCCGGGAGGAGGATTACTTTGGAAAAGGAAAATGCACATGAAGAGTTATATGAATTTTAGAAAGCAATTGTGAAGTCACTGGTTGTGAAATTCTCTGCATTTGTTGTGATTGAAGATGTGCTTCTGAGTCTTAGTGCATATTACATGTTCTGCATGATACTTCTTGTGGGTAAACAAAGTAGAAACCAAATGCCATCTGTGACTAATTGCTTGATGAAACAATTTTTGTGTGTGGTGGATGTGCAGAAGATTGGAGTCAGTAACTGAGTAAACACAAGTTTATAACTCTGCCCTGTGTCCAGGCTGGAAGCTGGGCTGTCTTCCTCCTTGGTACAAGGTCAGTTGTGTGCAGACTTGTGTCAGACTGAAATGGGCTGTGAATCCCCAGCAGCAGGTGTATGTTCAGGTGTGGAAAAGCACTGGCTGCTTTCTGACCAAGCAGAAAGTTCTCCATGCTTCAGCAGCTTCTTGAAGGCTGCTGTAGTAACTTCATGGGAATGAATCTCCCTGTGCTCCAGCCTGCACTGGCTCACTGCTGAGGCCTCTGGCTCTCCTGCTTCTCCACATGGCAGCTGTGTGTTGTGTGGTGCTGGCACAACAGGCAGAATGTGAGCAGTGGGGGTAACTTTGGGATTGTGCCCTCTAGGTGCTGGGTCTCAGAGGATGGGACTGGAGCAGCAAAGAGCATGTCTAGAGTCAGGCATCCAGTGGGACCAGATGTGCTGGGTTGCTTTCCATTGGGAAATGAGATTCTCCTTTGCTCTCTTGTGGTTTTGAGTGCCAGCTGTCCCCTACTCCCACAGCGTGCTCTTGGGGCAATGCTGTAGTTGCTGCTGGAGGTTTAGGCATTCTCTAATTCAAATTATTTTTTTAACAAATCCTAAACCATGAGAAGCAAATGACATGAGATTATTGGAACAGGTTGTTTGACTGAGAGGTGGTTTTCTTGTCCTCAAAAGACAGCACAAAGCTGCCAAGTAGCAGCAGTAACAGACTTGTGTTGCTGTTTGACTGCAGTGCTTCCCCACCTGCATTTCTTTGGGACAAAGTCTGTTCACCTGCAGCTTTGGTACTTCAGGAATGAAGGGATCATTGGGGCATAGTAACCTTCTGGACTGGTTTTCATCCCAAATCTCTGACTGTGCTTAGCTTGAGGAGCAGTTCTGAGGGCCTTGGCACTGAGCTGTGGGGAGCAGCCCTGCCCTGAGGGTGCCAGTTCATCTCTGCAGTGATCAGCTGTTTCATTGCCATGTCAGGGAGGTGCACAATCGGCTGTGGCAAAGGACATTTATGATTCTCTGCAGCCGTAGCTTCAATTGACTTTGTTATTTCAGTGTATAGAGGAGACTGGCAGGAAGAATTGGATGGCAAGAGATTTTCTACAGCATTGGGTTCTTTTCAGTGCTACCCTGAACATTTAGTCTGGAGTTTTGAGAGTATATTTCAATTTGTTTGGCTGCAAAAGAGTGGAAGACCTGCTTAGATTTATCACTGTATACCTTTACACTTTGTGGTTTTAGAAGTATGGTGAATCCTGAAAACACTTCCTTTTGTTCTTTGTGTGTTTTTTGACATTTGGAGGAGGTCAGTGTTGATGCTGATGTGGAGCTGTGTAAATTCAAGCAGTTGGACCTTAGATCTCATCAGAAGGAATAATGACATTTTCTACCCTGTGTCTTCTCTAGACCTTCCTCCATAAAGTATAGTCAGATTTTTTTTTTTTCCTGGAGAGGAGCTGCCAGAACTGTTATATTTTGCTCCCGATTTAAAATCTTACACTATCTTATTTTTAACCTGCTTGTGGATGCATGGAGAGACATCTCTCAAATCTTCCTCTGTGAAAGTGGAGCAGGCACGTGGGGCAGGTGTGAGTCTGGCATGGTGAGTTCTCTGCCTGTGCCACCACTCACCCACAGACACAGGTTTGGTTTAGTTTTTAGAGGTGCCTGTCTCCCAGGCTTCCTCTCTCACACAGAAGCCACCAAAAGCTTTTGGGTGAAAATCCATTGTTTCCAGGGCAGATGCATCCTGTTGACTTGCCAGCAGTTCCACAATGGGTTACAGATGTGCTGTCTCTGTGCCTCTCTTTGGTGGTGATTGTGCATGGAGGTTGCTCATTAATAGCAGTGCCTTGGCTGCATATGCTCTTACTGTGATATTATTTTTAATTGCAAACTGAATAAGGTCATTTTAGTGCCTGTTTTCATTCTTTGAGTCTCCAGTTATTGAAGTGTGACTAAAGTGAAAATTCATGGATTAATTCACCAATATTAATATGCTAATTGATACCTTATTGCTGTGAAAGCAAGGGTATAAATTGCATTGAAGCTGTAGCTTTGTTTTGTGTCCTATTTTATTGCAGCAAAAAGTTGTCATGGGCAGCTTTATCCCAGAAATGGCAATTTGGGAGGGAGCTGTGTTCCTGCTGTTAGCACTGCTTCTGTGCTGCTTGAGGGCTCTGAAGCTCAGCCTTTGTTGAGTTTGCATCCCTCAGCTTCTCACCGTGGAATATTCTGGTTTAATTCTGGTGCTTGGAAGTAGCACTGTGTACTGGCTGTTGTACACCCAGCAATAGTCAGTGCAGCAGCAGCCACATATCAGGACAGTCTCTTCTGGCATCAGGGGTGTTCTTACTACAAGAAAAGAACTGATCTGGAGTGTGGTTGAAAGAAAATATGTGGCTTCAATCCAAGGACTAGCATCAGTTGATTTACATCTCAGGGTTTCTGTGAATGGAGAAAACATAATCTCTCAGTTATGGAAGGGGGAGGAAAGTAACAAGTGCTGGAGCTTAGCTCTGAGGCTGACAGATTCTGGCTGCATCCTGCTGGCTGTGCTGTTTCCCAGCATCCATGGAGCCCTTTGTCCATCCATCCATCCATCCCAAACAGCTGCTTACAGCTGTGGTTTGGATGCTGTGCTTGCTCCCATGTAAAAACAATTGATTATCTGGTGCCTACACTGCCTTTGTCAACATCCAAAGGTTGTTACTGGCCTTCTTACTGGTGCCTGGTACATCTGTCCTGCAGGCTTGCTGGAGATATTTTTGGCAGCTGTTCCTTCATCTCTGTGGATACTTAGGCACAAAAATGCAGCAAGAGCTGAAACCATGTGTCTTCCCATTTGAAGCAGCCAACAGTTTAACATCTACACAGGATGGAAAATACACTTGATATAAACTGATGATTCTAGTGTGGTATATTGTGATATACTCAATGCTCAGGAAAATGTCCCCTGCTTCACCCTCCTTGCTCCTGACACTACTGTGCCCTGTGTTTCCTGTGTCACACTTGATGCAAGAACAGTTTTACCAATGAGAACTTCCAGGAACCTGCTGGAATACAGACCATGAACTGTGAAAGTTCATTCTTGCTGGTTTCTTTAAAAAGTTTTTAATCCCAGCTAACTCACTATCAATGGAAAGATTCAAAGATCATCTGAATGTGAAAGGAGGATTCATACTGAGACCTTTTGCAGACAGCAATAGCATTTGCTGATGCCTGTCCTGTAGGACCTGTTGGATTTGCTGCACTGACATTTTGGTTCTCAGCCAGAAGGGGCTGAGGAAGGTGGTTTGGTGCACAGATGGTGATGCAGTGGTGTTTTCTGGGGATGTGCATCTTGTAAAAGCAAACAGTGCTGGGTCTCCCAGTCCATTCTGTGCCAGGCTGCGCTGCCTGACAGCAGCAGGCCTTTCCCTGAGATCCCTGCAGGCTCCTGTGTGCGCTCAGTGCAGCTGAGGGCAGTGTGAGGGGTGCCTGAGAGCCCAGCCAAGCCCCTGGTGCTGTGTGTGCTGGCAGAGGGCTCTGGCAGAGCTCAGTGGCTGTGCTCTGTGCCTCAGGAGGTGTTTGCTCGTGGCAGGTTCAGCACATCCGCTCTGTTTGCTACCAGCCTGTAGCTGACGTCGGAGCTGAGCAGTTCCCAAGGGACCCAAGGAGGATAAGGAAGATTCTGTTTGTTGCTGCCTTGACAGTGAATAATGCCTTCCACTTTCTTCTCCTTGACGTCAGAGCGAAGGAGAGTGTCAGATTTTTCCCCAGATGCACAGCAAGGCTGGGGTCTGAAAGGGAGGTGTGCTTCTAGTGCTAGTGGGAAGCAGGGTTTGAGTGCATGGAGAAGGGACTGGGCAAGTGGAACGTGTTTGTGACTTGGGGCCTCTGCTCTTCAAACCACGTTGCCAAAGGAGCTTTTCCCAGTCACCTTCCTAGGAGGGCAGAGTCAGTTCAGTAGGCAGCTCTAGCTGAGCAAAACAACACAGTTGTAATCATAGCTGCGTGTGTTTTGATTTTGTACTTTTTTCTGTCTTGGAAAAGCAATGGTCTTACCAGCTCTATTCTCTTTCCTGTTTGTTAGGTCTGCCTAACCACGGACAAACCAGACAAATGGTAAGAGAATGTTCATTTAACCAAAACAGGGAAAAGAAGAATTATTAACCCACAGTAGATAGAACACCCCATTAAACCGTAGTGCTTCACTTCCACCTTTGCTGTTTGCAGCTGGTCATAATTCCCAATTCACTGAAAAGGGAAAAAATATTGTTTTGGGGCATCTAAATCATCTTAGTGGTTAAATACAATTTAAACCTCAAATCTATCTACCTTTATATCTATAAATGAGATCCTGTTTTGAACAGAGCATGTTGTTTCTGCTCATGCAGAAACTGAGTGGCTGCTTCCAGCAAAGTTCTGGGATGTGTTTCTAGGTGGAATGTGTTTCCCTGAAGGAGAAAAGTATAAATGATGGAAGGGTTTGTTTGGAAAACAGTTTCTTTTTACATCTTTTTAGCAAGTTGGTGTGCAAGTTACCTGCTGAGAATGCTTGTATTTTACGTTCTTTTTTTTTTTTTTTTGAGTAAAAAATATTTGTAGCCTTTCATCTATTGTGCTGAGTTTAATCAAAGGACAGAAGCAAATAGCCAGTCTGATTGATATGTGTCTGGCAGAATGCTTTCTCACTAAATTGTGAAGGGGCCAGTGCAAAGGCTGTGCATCCCTTTCCCCCCTTGCACGTGGCTTATGGGAAACAACTTCAAGCACACGTTTTCCCCCCCCAAAATGGTCACTGCACAGTGGTCACAGGCTTTGTTCAACCTGACAGCGTTTGGGGAGGGGAGCACTGGCCTGAGGGGAGGCCAGAACATGGGTGTGCCAGGCTGCCTGGGATGACAGAGCATTCCTTTGGTCTGTTCCTCCATCTGAAGGGGCAAATTGTACTCCTCCATCAATTCAGCTTCATTCCGTGTCACTGAGAAGACTGGCTACTTGTTTGTGTCTGCTGAATAAACCAACTGAGAGCAGAGGGAGAAATCTCTGATGACTTCATACTTTTTAGGTGTTTTAGTGTGAAACTCCCAGAACTGCCTTGATTCCATGTTGCCCAATCAAGTGTGAATGAAAAATTAAAGGTCCTCGTTTAGGATATATCATTTGAAATAGATTTCACCATGTAGGCAGAGAAAGGGCAGCCTGGAAGCACAGGGGTGCCCTTTCTAGGTATTTCCAGTAACTTTTTCTGGAGTTGTTCTCCTGTGTATCTTGCATATGTGGAGAAAATATGCTTTGCAACCTTAATGAATGGATTTTCTTGGAGAAACCAGGAGGGGGTAAAATAAAGCCATCAGAAAAGCTTTTATTTGAAACCTTTTGCTTAACAAATGTCAAATCTAAAAGCAATTGTTGAAGTGTTTCAGTGGTCTGCAGTGGTGCTGAAGCTGTCTTGTATAATATGGAGCTGGGCAACTAAGAAATTAAATTCTTATTGCACTTGTGTGCAACAGTTTTCAAGAGCTTAGAGTTTTAAAAGGTGGGAGGTTGGTTTGTTTAGCTCTAAAGCCCTGATGCTCTACAGGAAGCAGATCTTGCTGTAGAGCAGTTGATTAAGGCTGGTCAAAAAATAAGTCATTATCATTTTCTGTTTTCTGCTGAGATACAAAATGAGATAGACACAGGGGTTTGTTGGGTTTCCCCCCTTGGTTTTTAGACTGAATTCCTCCCTTTCTAAGTCAAGGTGTTAAAATTCAGTTAGTTACTGCAATGACCTGGCACTAAAGGATTTGAACATGTCCACACCATTCCTTTCGAGGTGGGTCTCCCAGGGCAGACATCCCTCACACACACTCAGTTTCCCACTCCATGGGCAGAAGGGGAAGCCTTGGTGCATCTGGGGAGATGGCCTGTGAAATACCACAATTGAGTTTATGCCAGGGTGTTTTCTGACCAGCTTTAATTCATGCATATCAAATTTTCTGGGCCTTCATTTTGCATCTTTCCCAGCTGCTCAGTGTTACTGATTTCAGTGGGATTTCTCAGTGTGCTGATCAGCAGGAAGAGGGGCAGCAGCACTGGACTTCAGTGATCAAGGACAGCTGCATTTGAGAAGCTTAACACTTTGCTCCCTTTCATCTGCACCTCTCTTAATAACAGCTCATGTTTTTCCAGCTGAGTGTAAGGGGCTTACTGTGAGTCTGGAAAATGATGCCTGTGTTGATTTGCAAAGCAAATGTGTTGTTATGGGAAGTCTGTGGTGTTCAATACTAACAGGGTTTTTATCATGAAAGCTGCTAAGCTTTGTAGTACTACATTTGTTTTCAACAACATATTTAATTCTATGCTATCCTTATTAAATATTGACCTCCCTAGAACAAAAAGGACATGGGTAAGTTTGGTACTGCAGAATAACTGTAAATTCTGATTCTTGTATTTGATTTGCTCTGTAGCTAATTTCCTTCCCTGAAATCAATAGAATTGCTCTAGATTTATGGTAGTAGCTGAAATCTGAGTCTGATGCTCAATCTTTTGAACTTGATGTCATCTTTCAGACACAAGGCACAAATTATTGGTAATGCCTCCCATTTATTATTTGTCCTGTCGCTGAAGTATTGCTGTCCTATTGCATATCGAAGGCGCCTGACTTGTTCTGCTTGTGAACAATTGCTTATGTGTGAACTCTGTGTTCAGTCCTGGGCCACAGGGGGAGGTATTTACCTTAAACTCTCAGCAAGCCATACAAAAACTTGAATTCTCTTTTCCTTTGCGTGCTTAGCACACGTTGCTGCAGGTTTGTTGCAGGCCATAACTGTGCTGTTTTATGTATCACGTTAGGGACCAAGCCGAAACTTGCTGCTCAATGGGAAATCATACCCAACAAAAGTCCGATTAATTCGTGGTGGATCCATGCCTCCGGTGAAAAGGAGGAGGATGAACTGGATTGATGCACCAGATGATGTTTTTTACATGGCCACTGAAGAAACCAGGTAGGAAATGTGGTGTTTCAGAGGATTTAAGGGGATGTCTGTTGTTTTGTGGGTGCTGCCGCTGGTGTTGTGGTTAGAGGGAGGGAAATGATCCACGCACTTACGTTCCAGAGAGCAGATTCTTGTTCTTCTTGCAGAGCAGTTGCTGTAGGAGGTGGATGCCAAGGGGAGGAAGGCTGAGGTGGGAATTCACCTGGTTCAGACCCATCAGTGCCCTCACAGGTCCCATCTCAGTGGGACAGGATAGGGCTCTCCTGGCTCATGGGTGACACTGAGCAGCAGAGCCTCCTACACACACGTCCTCCTGCATGCTGAACTCTGGCATTACCCCCCAAGACATCTCCACGTGTCTGGGGGTCCTGGAACCTGCCAGTGACAGAGGGTTTCTACAGGCTGAGCTGACTCATTTCTCAGTGATTTGCATTTGCCACCAGTAGCAGTGAGATTGAGTCCTACAGTGTCAATCTTCCTCCTTTGGTGGTACAGCTTCTGTAGTCCTAATTCTTCTTGTTGGTCTGCCCACAGGATAAAAATAGTAGAAGAAAGTTTCCTTGTGTGAGTTTCACTTCAAACTGTTTACAAACTGCTGACAGAGTGGTAGAAGCTATGTGACCCAATCCCTCAGGCAAAGTTCCCAGTACTGGTATTCCTAGGATGGGAGAGTTGCTCCTGGGTGTGATGAGAAGCTAGAGAAAAATTGGCTTGTGTGGTTTCCTCCCAAGAACTTGATGCCTCCCTTCTGGGTAACCTTGAGGAAGGTCAGAGCAAAGCTGCAGCCCTGCTTTCCAGCCCTCCCTGACAGCAGATGTGGTGTCTGGCTTCTGTCTTGGTCTGAAGCCTGGAGTTATCAACACTTGCACTCTCAGTGAGTGCCCCAGGAGCACAGCAGCACTTACCTTCCCCTCCACTTGCAGAGATGGACCTGGCAATTACTGCATGTCTGAGCCCCTCAAGTGACTGAGGAGGTTGGGAGTTTTAGTGCTTTGTCTCTTCTGGTACTGCTAAATTTGGCACTGCTCTTGAGTCTTCATTTGTTCAGCACAAAGGTCACAGTTGAGAGTCCTGGTATCTCCAAACTTCTCCTTAACCTGCAAAGCATTTCAAGTGTCAAGGAACTATTTTGTGAGCTTAGTACCAAAGATGGGCTTTGTAGAATAGGTAGTACCAGTAACATTCAAATTACTAACCATTGATCTATTGGGTGATCAGTTTTCAGTGCAGGAAACACCTTGTTGGAACTCGGAAGACACATGAAATGAATTTCCTGGTCAGACTTGTTCCTGTGGACACCTTTAATGCAACTGTGCATTTCACACCAGCTCATATCTTTGCCATGTCTTTCCCTTTTCCTTTCTGTGCCTGCAAGATGCTGTGAAAGAAAGAAGTTATATATGGAATTCCATATAGAATTGAAAATAAAGTGAGAGAAGGATTTCATTTTCAGGGGGAGCAGTTTTCTGATTACTGCTGTTGCTCTGATACAGAGGTACTGGGATCCTGGTGCAGCTCTCAGATTCATGTGCCATTGGGGACACAGGGTGAGCACTCCTTAGATGCTCAAGGCTTGTTTCATAATCCTGCATCTAGGGAGCTCTTTTTGACATCTGCACCATCCAAGGCACATGAAACACTCCAGGTGCATGGTGGCAGCCTGTCAGTACAAGGTCCTGCCCTTTGACCTGGACAGACCTGTGACAATAGTCATCCAGTGTGGTGTTGGTTGTGACAATAATTTACTGTAGACACAGAATCCTCTGCTCAAACAGAACCACTGACAGAGGCAGGAAGGATCAGTCCCGCAGCAACCAGCACAACTCTAATGAAAATCGTGGTGATAGACATCAGCTCAGTAAGATCTTATCACTTCCATTTAAAAATAGAGAGAGAGAGAGAAAAGGGAAAAAAACCCACCCAGGCTTCTTTGTCTGACAGCCATGCTGCTTAGCTGTGTGATGAGTGGTGAAAGGAGATTTTTGGCAGGCTGTGAAGAGCAGGGAAGCCTGAGCGATGGAGCATTGTCAGTGGCACGGGTTTTCTGTCGGGCATTTCACCTCTAACTTTTCCCTGAACCATCTGCTGCATTCCAGTGTCAGGAATGTAAGCCTTGTTTGCGAGCTCTGAAACAATTTGAGCTTTGTGTTGGCTCCCTAGCAATCAATCTAGCTGCAATATCTGCATCTCGTCCTCCAGCTGAGGGTCAGGCTGTGTTTTCAGTCACAGCAAGTAGGTTTCCCTGAAGTTTTACACGCTCCCCCTCTCCCCTTTTTGTGTAGCTCTGTTGAGAACACAACAGAGGCGCTGGAAAACTCTGTGGCTCTGAAGGAGCAGCTTGAAAAGTTGGTGGAATGAAAGGAGTAAGTTTTGAATTGAAGGCTCCCAGTGAGGAGCTGGCATTTCTAACTCAGGCAAGCGCAGGCAGCGCTGACCTGATCAGAATCCAGAGTGCTGCAGGACTTGTTTCTGATGGCAGCCTGGCTGATGGAGCACACACGGGTGCTGCAAGGAGCTCTGCTGGCTCAAAGTGGATCAACGGCAGTCAAACATCTTGGAAAAGTCATTATATCAAGATTTTATTTTCTCTCTCCCCCACCACCACTTTGCCAGCTTGTTTTCACCTCTCCTCACCCTGTCGCCTTTTAGTTTGAGAGGGTGCTGGGGAAATGGGGACACTGGGCAAACAAAAAATGTGTCTGTGTAAGTGCAGCAGCTTGTCCTCCTCAGTAGGCAAAAAAAAACAAGTGAAAAATGACCAAATCTGATAAGAAGTGATTCAAAGTCTTCAGCTGAAGTTGATGGTTTGTCAGTTCTGGTGGTGCCAAGGGTAAGTTTTTGAGGATAAGGGAGGTATTTTGACCACTTTCTTCAGCAGCCATCACATCTTAAAGGCAGAAATCATAGCACAGTGATAGGCATCAGCTCAGTGAGAAGCTCTCTCTTCCACTGACAAATAAACCAAACCAACCAGCCAAAACCACAACCAACAAAAGGGGGTTTTGGCCTCAATAGTGTTCCCTAAATGAAGTTGGGGGATAGGTGGCTGAAATGTGGGCTGCAGAGCCCTTCCTCTCTTGTCTCTCGTGGTCAGGCAAAACCTTGTTCTGTCAGGAGCCTGTGAGGGAAGGCAGTGCTGCCTTATCAGACCCTTCTGGTTGCCCCAGTTCCTGAGCTGAAGACTCATGGTGGGTACTGGTGGGTATACATAGTCTGTACATAGTGGGTACTCTTGTGACTATTTATTATTTTCCTTTCTAATCTCTGTGTGCCTTTGACCACCACAGCATCCTCTGTATAGAAGAATGCCTCATTTTAATGACACAGTACATTTTTCATTGTTGCTGCATTTTTGGGTTTGGATGGGGTTTTTTAATGATACCAGGCTCAGAGATAAAGGAAGTATTAAGAAAAACAAGCAATCATTCAGTATTTGTCTCTGTCTAATTTACTTTGGTAATTTTAAAGCTTTGGTGTGTCTTTCTGTCCATATGGAAAACAGCTTCCTGCATCTGATAGGACTTGTTGCCAGTGTTGTACATATAGGGAAATCCTTAACCAAATACAAGGTGTGAATATTGCCCATCTCTGGGTTGGGCACCCACAGTGTGGGAGAAGGGGAAACAAAACACCCTGTTGGTGTTGCCTTGGCTTTGTCAACTTCCCCGGAGCTACCTGCAGCACATAAAATAAATTCAGAATAAATCAATGGTGTGGAAACTGGCTGTCGTGACTATTTCAGTGCTTTGTTCCCAGCAAGGCACCCTAGTCCTACCAGGCTGGACCAGAATGCCTTTTACAGAGGATGCAGTTTGCTGTTCACTGAGGGGTTTGTAAATCAGAGAATGTGAGTTTGCCAGGGCAGCCATTGCAGCGGGAGCCGTTGTCAGCCAGCCCAGCAGGCGTGTGCGGGCCCCTGGAGGAGCGGAGCCTGTGTAATCCGTGCCTTTCTCCCTCCTGTCTGCAGGAAAATCCGCAAGCTGCTCTCCTCCTCGGAAGCCAAGCGAGCCGCCAGACGCCCCTACAAGCCGATTATCCTGCGGCCCATGCAGGCGGTGCAGCTCCGCCAGCCCATGAACGATGAGCCCATCATCATCGAGGATTAACGGCGGCAATCTCCTGCAGCACCTACTCGAGTTTCCATGGCTACAGCATTGAGCTAACTGTTGAAGAGAGGGAACTTTTGAGGAACTGTTTTGCATCTTTTAAACCCTTAAAAGGAACTCAGCCCTGCTCTGAGCCTCTGACCACAGACTGCTCTCTCTCTCTGTCTCTCTCTCTCTCTCTTGCACTCTCTCCTATCTTTTTTTCTTATTTTTTTCCTTTTTTTTCTTTTTTTTTAATTTTTAGTAGCCTCCTTTCCCTTTTGCTTCTACCCTTTTTGTAGAAGGGGGAGGGAAAGTAAGTTTAACTTATTAAGAGAATGTGGACTAGTACTTTTTAGCTTTGTTTCCTCTTCTGATGTACGAAGAGCTAGAACCCTTCATTTTGTGACTGAGCTATCGTTGCAAAGCCATTTTATGAGGCTGTGTTGTAAGATTTCTCTTTTCTCTTTTTTTTTTAATTTTGTGGACGGTGCCATTTTTTTAATTTCATTTATATTATTTCTTTTGTAGATAAATTTCCAATCTTTGACTGATATTTGAAAATAGGAGCTGAAAGCCAGCCCCAGGTTCAGCCAGTTTTCTTTGGTCCTGTCCCTTCTGTTTTTTGGATCTTTTTGCACAGCCAGTTGTGCTCATGCACAAGACAGACCAACTCAGGCTGAGAAAGGAGTGAGCTAAGAACTGAAGAACCTTGCAGAACATTACACTAACGCTGTGTGCAGTGGAGCCAGGCTGCCAGAATTAGGTGTCCTTACTCTAGTTGCTCTCTGGGAGATGTGGCCCGTGGCATTTCTCATTTCTCCCAGGAACCAGCATTTGCGTGCTGCCTTCTCTGTGACATCTGGGATCCTACGTGCTGCTAGCAGTAGGCCCAGCAAGTGTAATGAATTGCTTTGCTCTGGCTCCAAGAGTCAAGTACACCAATGCCCAGGGACATTTTGCTTAGAACTCTGAACCTGTTTGTGCATCAGTGCTTTTGGACACGTTTCCCAGGATGAGACCTGGTTTCTCTTTAATTGCGTTACTGTATGTTTCCCATTTTGAAGGGACTTTAAATTGCAGCTGGGTTTTCATTTGAACACATAGTGTCTGAATTTAAGTGGTTTTTTCCCCCCTTGACATTTCTTGTGTTTGAGGTTTCTTGCATCTCTTCAACTTCTTATGTATTTGCAAGTCTGTATCATTTCTTTTTCATATGTCTTCTCACGGCAGTGCATTTGCTGGATGCCCTGCTCGGTTTTGAAAGGATGTAAACTATCATTTGCAACTTGTGCTGATCTGTACATGTACCTGCCTCAAGCAGACACAGCATGTAATAACCCCCAAGTCATTCCATATGTGTCAGCGGTGAGATGAGCCAAAGTTGTATTTGGGTTATCACAGTCCAACCGTGATTCTGTGCAACTCTGTTAACCCACCGGGTTAGACGGAAAGGAATCCCCACAAAATGAAAACAATTCAGTTAACTTTACTTAATAAACCTGGAAAGTGAGCTTTTGTGAAACATCTGCTTTTTGTCTCTTCTGAAAAGCCGCCCTTGTTCAGGTTCCACATGCCTGGGGCTCACAGCCCTGCACCTTCCATCCCATCCCTGGGCTGTGTCCTGCTCTCCAGGGTCCCTGGGCCAGCACTGCAGGGCAAGAGTCCGAGTCACTCGTAGTTTGATTCCTCCCCTGTGCAGTTCAAACATTTCCTTGCGCTTCAGAGGCGTGTCCCTCCTCCTCCTCCTCCTCAAACAGGCAGCAGATGCAGGGCTGGGCGTCTGAATGAGCCCTTTGTCCACAGCAGCTCCTGGTCCTGCTGCTCTGGGCCTGCCTCTCGCGTGTGGCAGAGGGACATCCCTGGGGGTCAGCAGCCCAGCCTGTGGGCAGTTCTGAGCTCTGCGTTGCTCTGTCCTCCCACATGAGCAGCATGGGCTCCTCTGCGTTGCTCTGTCCTCCCTCATGAGCAGCATGGGCTCTGTCTTTGCTCTCGTTTGCTGCTCAGGAGTGCTGAGATTCACCCCGTGGCTGTGAGCACCTGTGCACCCTGGCAGGTCTAAGTGTATCCTGTGCTGCAGGTCAGGCTTTCCTGTCCTCAGCTTAAAAGTGAGACAGGACAGCCATTCCCGAAGGATGTGCTACTCAGGAAGGGCACAAAAGCCCTCAGGCTGCGAGCAGCACCAGTGACCATTGGCAGTTTTACTTGGTCACCATCAATCCTTAGGATTAATCCTCTGTACTCTGTACGGGAGAAACAGCGGCTGCAGGAGGGTTTTGTAACACTTATGTCTCTGTGAGGGCAAGCGCTCTTGTGGATTCCTTCTAGTAGCAAAAGGAAATCTGAACGCATCACGTTGGAAAATCCCGGGTCCGAGCTGGCTCCGCAGTGTCCAGGGGGCCGGGACAGCTCGGACAGCCCGGGGTGCCGGGGCTGCTGCCGTGCTGGGGATCCCGGGGCCGGGGCTGAGCTCTCCATGAGCCGGGCAGAGGCTCCGGCTGCACCGAGAGCACAAGAACCACTTGGGGGTGCCAGCCCTGCGGTTTCCAACAGCTTAAAAGCTTTCTTGGAGCGGCTCCAGAGATTGCTCTGGGAAGGAGTCCAGGCAAGGAGAGCGAGCACGTCCTGTGCTGCCCTAGCTTTGAAGGACCCTTGCGTGTCCTTCAATAGAGATGCTGTTTTCTGGCGTGCGGTAGCAGGCTCCCCTGCCATGTGTTTGTTTCACTGGCTTACATTTGTACCAGCTTGGGAGGGAGGCTGGAAGATCCCTTTGGCCACCAAAGGAAAACGCTGCCTCTTGGGAAGTGCAGGGAGTGTTAGGTCCAGGCACTGACCCGTCCAAGCCTGAGGGGTCACTCCCTTGAGCTGCTGCTGCCACAGCCCCTCCTGTGCCAACCTCTCCTCTGTATTCACATTCCTGTGCTGTTGCTGCAGGAATTGCCTTGGGTTATTCACCCTCCTTCTCTAGAGCCTTGTCAAAATAGAAATGTTCACACAGCTGGGGCAATGTCCCATTTTCCAGGTCCCTTCCTCTCCTTGCTTCCCACCTCCAAAGGAGCCCCTGAGATTGCAGGGGGAGGAGAGCCTGGAGCTGGGAAATGCTTGCCCACCCGGACAGGCCGGGTCTGTTGGGATGTAATAAGTGTTGCCATGTTCATTTGGGTATTTTCCCTTAGCTGTGTGTCCCTGGCATCCCAATCCTTCCCTCCCCTCTCTGCCATGCGGACGTGGGAGCAGAGATGTCACAGGCTCAGCTGTGATCCCCGGGAGAGCACTGTGCTCACGTGGATGGAGCATGCTGACCTCCAGACTCAGTGCCATGCCTGCAATTTTACAGGCTTAAAAAGAAGCAGGAAGCTGCTCAGGAAAGTATTTTAAAAACAAAACAAAACAAAAATCCAAACATTCCTACAATACTTCATGCCAAAATGCTTTTGCTACAGATTTAATTTTTTTTTAAGTTAACTTGGGTGTTTTGGGGGCGCATTTTTACATTGCATTTTGCATTTTACCAGCTTGTCAGTAGCAGCTCTCTGTGATCTCTGCTTTTGCTGCTGTAACATGAAGGCAGCGCCCTGACCGTAACAGCACTGATGAAACAATATGAAAAAAAGTAAAGTATGACCAAAACTAACAATTCCAAACCTGGCATTCCTGCTGTGGGAGGAGGGCTGTAACTGGGACACTATTGGAGAGTTGTAAAACAAAATACACGCTGAAATTTTCTTTTGAAATGGAAATTTGGAGCCGGTGCCAGCTCTGCTGCGGGCTCTGGCTCTCTGTGCAAGTGTTACACAAGCCAGACCTTGGGAAGCTGGAGAGGCTCTTTGGGATGGTGGGATTGCATTACGGGGGAGCTGCTTCCCACTGCCACACGAGGAGGGGGCACTCACCTGTTCACTGGGGATGAGCAGTGGCACTGGAGGTGTGCCAGCCTGCTGGGGGATTTGTGGGGACAGCACAAATAAAATCTGGCAGATTTTGACTATGAGGAGAAGGAAGGAATTTGACTAATTTACAGCAACTGGACCTTGAATCTTTTCTATTTTTCTTAATCCATCAAGAGGGCACAGACATAAAAACACCATTAACCCAAATAAGCTTTGGCAGCAGCATTAGAGGAAGAAAGGAAAGATCCCTGCAGAAAGGCAAGTCGAGGCATGACAGCCCTCTCTGGCTGGTGAGAGAGGGTTTGTTGGGGGTTTTTCCTGTAAATGCAGTCAGTGCCTTTCAAGGTCAGCCTGCAAGAGCCAACAGTGATGGGATCTGCTGTGATCCCCAGAACATGAACGTGTCTGGAGTGTGGGTGGTGTTTATGGCCCTTCCCAAGGCAGGAGGCTGGGGTGCCCCACCTCCCCCTGTCCCTCCTGCCCTCGCTTCCCTGCCTGGGCACTGGCAGAAGGGTTTTGCCCTGCCTGAGCAGCTTCAAAACCTGGTGGCAGACTCAGTCTCTGACAATCACGTTTCACCCGTGCAGGAGGAGGAAAGCTGCCTCAAGAAAAGACACACAGTAAATTCAGATGGGTTGTGGAGCTGGGGCTTGTCTCCACCTCTTCTTCAGCCTGGAAGAAAGTCAGGGCAGGTCAGGGTTGAAGCACACTTGATTCCTGCCCTGGGCTTTGCAAGTTCATTCACCACATTCCTGGAATGAGAATGAATAACATAAATTCAGCATCTTTCTGCAGACAGCTTCCTCCCTTCCCTCCTGCAAGGGGACTCTCCACCTGGATCCAGTGCTCTGTGGGATGCTGGCAGTGTCATGGGGAGCAGATTTACAGGTTCTGGCCAGAGGGTTTCAGCCAAATTGTGCTCATTCAGAGATTTTCCATCTGAGCAGGAGCGAGTTTGTTCCCCTGCCTGTGCTCTGGCTGCCCCCAGGCAGGACAGGAGGGAGGTGAACGTGTGGAGCCTGTGGGTGAGAAGCCAAGATGAGGTTCCCTGCATTCCAGCAAGATGCCCAAAATGTCTGGGTGAACCAAGGCCAAATGCATCCTGGTGGGTGGGTGATGCTGATGGAGAAAGAGAAGATGGCGCTGTGGGGACATTGCAGCACTCATGAGGAGCGGGGTTATGTGTGTCCAGTCCCTTCCCTACCCCAGGGCTCACTGGGAGTGTCCTGGAGGTGCATGTGGGGCACAGACACATGGAAGTTGGGCAGCCCCTGGGCACACTGCTCCTGCTGCTGTGCCTGCTCTCAGAGCCACATTGCGCCATGGCCAGCCCGACCTCTGCCCA